AAAGGATGATTAAATTTACACTTCTGGGAAGACAGCTTTGACAACAAATTCTTATTTCCATCAAACATTGGGTTAATACTCAATCTCAATACAAAGGATTGCAACCACTTCAGCAGTAAATGAAATTTAATATTAGTAACATTATGATATAAAATATTATAGCTCTACATCCTATAAGTAAAATTGTGCTGTTGCTACTAAACTCTCCAATGGATAAATAAAACCAACCAATACAATAGAACCGTGGTGGCGAACCTATGGCACGCGTGCCACAGGTGGCACGCAGAGCCCTCTCTGTGGGCACGCGCACCATCGCCCCAGTACTAGCCTTCAGCTGGGTTTTATAAAACCTTTGTGCTTTAGGCCTCCACCACCATGTGCAAAAAAAAGGATCAATCAATTTCAACTTCTCGCTGAAAAAAAAAAAGATCTTGCAAAGTTGGAATTGATTGATTGAACCTTTTAGACCCATCCAGTATGGGTTACCACCACAGCCACGCCCACCCAATAGGCCATGCCCATCCAATAGGCCACACCCACCTAATGGACCACACCCACCCAGCACCCAACAATACATAAGTGGGTTTTGTGTTGCAGTTTGGGCACTCGGTCCCTAAAAGTTTTGCCATCACTGCAATAGAATGACGTAAAAAGACAAAGAAGCAGATTTACTGTTAAACTGTAGTCTAAGTGGCTAACATGCCTGGTAAAAGTTCTTCGTTTTCTATTTTTTGTAATTAATACGGCCTCAGGAGGAAAATGGAGAAGATGACTGATGGTTCAAATAAAGCTGAATTTACATGTCATAATGTTTATTGATTTACTTACTGGAATACTCTGTTGCAATCAGACTGTTCTCAGCAGTTCGCATACACCAATGGAAATACGGTAAATATCTAAAATAAAAATATAAACAAAATGACATAGTTCAGTCCCTGAAGCTCTCTGAAACAACCCTGAAATTTGAATCAGAAGTGTCAAAACTAAAGCAGATACTGTAAGTGTGAATAGAAACCCCTATGGAAAATGGAAAAAAAAGGGGAAAAAAGGAAAAAAAATTAAGTTGTGATTTACAGACTGGCTTTAATGATTAGACATTATAGAGAAGAATCATGATGTAACTTTAGAGAGAAAGATTAATAGCAATAGCCTTTAGACTTATATACCGCTTCACAGTGCTTTACAGCCCTCTCTAAGAGGTTTACAGAGTCAGCAGATTGCCCTCAACAATCTGTGTCCTCATTTTACCAAGCTCGGAAAGATGGAAGGTTGAGTCAACCTTGAGCAGGTCAGGATCGAACTCCAGACTGTGGGCAGAGTTAGCCTGCAATACTGCATTCTAACCACTGTGCTACCAGGATTAAAATATAATTGTCCTTAGAACTGCTGTGAAGTATATCAGAAGCTACTTTTTTCTTCTTTTTTTCCATATTTTTTTTTTACTTTCTTTTCTTTTCTTGAACATTTAGCTTTCTTTCTGATTCCTTTCTGTTCTTCTTTACTTCGTATGACTTTGTATTTGTTTGTAACCTTCCTTTTTAAAAGTTTGCGAAAATTATATATTAAAAAAAAAAAAATCAAAGCAGGTAAGAATTCCTGCAATCACTTTGGAGGCAAGCAAGGCATGGCTCGAAAGGGTTGAGAACAAGGATTTTGAATTGTTTTGAAACGAATAGAAAGACAGCTCAGGGCCTGAAGGACAGGGCTGATATGGCCATGTTGGTGGCTACCTATGTGCCAACAACAGGCCGTTGCATTCTGGACCAAGGGAAGCTTTCAAAGCATCTTAAAAGCCAAATCCATATGGAACACATTGCAGTAGTCAGGGGGCTACAACCTTCATCTGCCCATCTAATAGTTGCTGGGCCCTGCGATCTCAAAGTCTCTGAAATGCTTCCTCAAGTATACCCTGCCCAGAAACAACACTGAAGACTTCAAAGAACAAATAGCACCTGCATCTTCTTAGGTTATTACTTGATTCATCCCATCCAAACTATTGCAGCCTCCAGACATTGGGTTGCTGCATGTCCTTTACACCAGGGGTCCCCAACCCCCAATCCATGGACCGCCACCGGTCCAGGGCATGCCAGCAACTGGTCCACACAAAACAAGCAAAGCCCCATCCACGGGATGCAGGCAGCACACAAAACCACGCACTCTCCGGTCTGTGGAAAAACCTCTCTCCATGGAACCAGTCTCTGGTGCCCAAAAGGTTGAGGACCTCTGCTTTACACCCCCGAGTTATACAACAATATTTACTTTCAGACAAATATACAGTCTTTTGCATGCTTCAACTTCATAAATGTAAAACATACTGGCCTTCAATGGTCAGTTGGTGACTTTTTGTCCCTAAGTTAGATTCCCTCATGTCAGCAAAATAGATTTTCAAATTTAATGCAATGGGTCGGACACGACTTCGCAACCAACAAAACAAACAAACAAAAAAAATGTTACATCCACTGTACAGTCAGGGATCGTAAAGACTAAGATTTTCTCAGTTCTTATTGGGCAAAATTTACCCTTAAATGCACAGGAATCGCTTATCAGAAAATCCTTTTTACCGCTTATCTTATTTAAATGTCCCTTTTGGGATTGGGTAATGTTGCTGTCCAAAGGGGAAAAAAACCTATTTATTTTGGAGTAATTTACCCAGGTTTGGGAAGCACTAAATTAACTTCTTAGATAGGCTTCTAAATGTCGCAATGCAGGGTGGAGTCTTTATGCATTAAGTCATTTCTAAAAAAGGAAATGCGAGACATTCAGGCTTGAATGCATTCAGATTGCCTACGGTGGAAAACTACACCCTTCTGAGGTGAAACTATTATTATCTAACTGCTAGCTTGTGGACAGGGCCTTGTTTATTCACCCTCAGGAAGAAATGAACTCTGCATATACTCTAAGACAAATTGGCTCTTTAGTTTCACAAAAGAAATACCAGGTATTCCCCCCCCCCCTTTTCCTGTTGTGAGTCTTCACTAACATAGAAATGACTAGTAAATCAGCAGAAATCCTTTCTCCAATATAAAGAAGCCATTCAAGGAACTTTAGTGTCAGAAGTCTTGCCAGCTCTTTGAGCTACTTCAAAAACTCAGCCAGGAAATGGCAGGGAAGTCTAAAAAAAAACTACCTCTTTTCAGATCTTGTCCAGATTCTTGCTCCCCAAACTAGTAGCTACGGCTGTCTAGGCATTATTTGATACGTTTGTCCCAGTTTCTGGGCCTGTTATCAGCATCCTAACATGCCACATTTACGGTTGATGCTGAGTCATCCTGTGGTTTATTTGCCTGTAAGTTGAATGCAATGTATAATCTATGTTGTTGTTAGTTGAGAAGTCGTGTCCGACCCATCGCGACCCCATGGACAACGTTCCTCCAGGTCTTCCTGTCCTCTACCATCTTCTGGAGTCCATTTAAGCTCACGCCTCCTGCTTCAGTGACTCCATCCAGCCACCTCATTCTCTGTCGTCCCCTTCTTCTATTGCCCTCCATCTTTCCCAGCATTAGGCTCTTCTCCAGTGAGTCCTTCCTTCTCATTAGGTGGCCAAAGTATTTGAGTTTCCACTTCAGGATCTGTCCTTCTCAAGAGCAGTCAGGGTTGACCTCCTTTAGGACTGACCGGTTTGATCACCTTGCAGACCAGGGGACTCGCAGGAGTCTTCTCCAGTACCATAGTTCAAAAGCCTCAATTCTTTGGCGCTCAGCCTTTCTTATGGTCCAACTTTCAGTATAATCCATATACTGCACTTATAAACTCAGTTTGTGCCCCAGAATAAAAACAAAACAAAACCCTAAGCAACAGTGATTTATCCAGCAAACAATTACAGACAGGGGAATCCAAGGTGAAAATATAGACCTATGTTTAATAGGTTGTAGACATGCCAGTTTTCTTAATAAAAAGCAATGGAAAGCCATCAATTTGGCAGAATCTGCTTTATGCATGGTGACTATCCATTTTTTATTACAAAGGACAGTCTTTTTATATCAGGAAGGCGTCCTTTAGGTGTCTTTATTTTTCCAAAACAGATTTTGGTCCTTTTTGGCATTTAACTTATACTGTACAAATGGCACCATTTAAGGAACAGGCATTTACATTCTTGTAAAAAATATGGAAATAGAATAGCACTAATGTGACCTAGGTTTGGTAATGAAACACCTGCAAGAAAACCACCTAGCTCAGAGAGCACCAAGGACCCCACTAAAAAAAAATAGTCTTTTTAAATACAAATTTACTTATTGAATTTTAGGTATTTTTTTTTATTAGAGCAGGCGTTTTTCTAAAGTTGTCCCTTGGCCTTGCTCTCGAATTTTCCTTCCTAAAGCAAAGTTATAACCACAAACAATTCTTTTTATATCCTTACAAACCTCTTCAGCTTTGTCCCTTTTCAGCTGAGTCCTTTATTATTATTATTTTTTCCCCAACAAGCTTTTATTTGCACCGCAGCTATGTGCAAATAAAGGCAGAGCAACCGACGGCCTTCCGCATATTTTGCACTATCCCCGCTGCCGTCCTCGCAATGGGAACGGCTCCAAACCAAAACCACAAAAGGAGGCACCGGATAAAGTCCAGGGGTAGGCAACCTTGGCTCTTTTATGACTCGTGGACTTCAACTCCCAGAATTCCTGAGCCAGCCGTGCTGAGGGGAAAGGGAGAGGTTTCCAAGCTGGCTTAGGAATTCTGGGAGTTGAAGTCCACCAGTCATAAAAGAGCCCAAGTTGCCTATCCCTGGGATAAACAAACTCCAGCTTCCCCCCCCCCAACAACTAGGCTGGAGGCCACGCCCCTTGTCCCTTGGCAGATCTCGCGAGATCCGCGCTCGAGGCTCTCCCCTTCAAGCGGCTTTTTCCCCTTTTGAAAGGGGGCGGGGCGTGGCGCTCTCGCGAGACTAGGCACCAGACTGCTTGGCGTCGCCGCGGTGCCGGTTGCTCAGTCTTGGTCGCGCGAGGAGGCGGAGCTGCCGCCGGTCTGACGGATGCGCTGCTGAGGCGGACGGAGCCCCCGCGATGTCGCTGCCGGACTCCCCGAGCTCCCCGGCCCCGCGCTGGGCCCCGACGCACGTCCAAGTGACGGTCCTCCAGGCGCGGGGGCTGCGGTCCAAAGCCAAGGGCGGCGGCGGAGGAGGAGGAGGAAGCAGCGATGCCTACGCCGTCATGGCGCTGGGCAAGGAGAAGTTCGCCACCTCGGTGTCCGAGCGCTGCCTCGGCTCGCCCGTGTGGCGGGAGGAGGCCACCTTCGAGCTGCCCTCGCTGCCCCGGCGGGGCCTAGGCGGGGCCGGCGGGCCTGGGCCCAACGCCGTGCTGCAGCTGACCGTGCTCCACCGCGCGCTGCTCGGCCTCGACAAGTTCTTGGGCCGCGCCGAGATCGGCCTCGGAGAGGTGCAGGGCGAAGGTGGCCGCCGCAGCACCCGGTGAGCGAACGGGCGGGCGGGGCGGGCGGGGAGAGCCTCCAGGCTCAGGGGCAGTCTACCTGCGCGGGGAGGAAGGAAGCGCAGGGCAGGGGATGCGCCTGTCGGGGCCCCAAGCTCGTTTTTCCACTAGGGCTTCCCTGGGAAAAAGCAGAGAAATGTGAAAGAATATATATATTTTCAGATCTTGCTCCCCTAACTAACTAACTAACTATCATCTATCTATCTATCTATCTATCTATCTATCTATCTATCTATCTATCTATCTATCTATCTATCTATCTATCTATCTATCTATCTATCTATCTATCTATCATTTCTCTCATCTATCATTATCTAACATCTCTCTCCCTCTCATCTATCTATCTATCTATCTATCTATCTATCTATCTATCTATCTATCTATCTATCTATCTATACATCTATACATCTATACATCTATACATCTATATCTATCTATACATCTATATCTATCTATCTATCTCTCTATCTCTCTCTCTCTATCTATCTATCTATCTATCTATCTATCTATCTATCTATCAGTTAAAAGAAAGAAACAGCAGACATTTCATATTACACTGAAAAGCACAAGCCTGATGATGATGAATGTGATTTCATCGAAACGTCGCTATGATACTTCTAATCTTACACGGGAGAAAACCCGAATGATATATATATATATATATATATATATATAGTTTAAAATTCTAAAAACTGAAGGTTGACTCCTGGGTAAATTCCTATTCAAAGAATCACAAACTGTGAGACCACCAGGAGATTAAAAACTACAAAAAGTTTATTACCATTAAAACACCTAGCTTTCAGCCATCCCATTGACTACTAGTCACCCTGACGATGCCGGCAGAAGGCCGGCGAAAGCTAGGTGTTTTAATGGTAATAAACTTTTTGTAGTTTTTAATCTCCTGGTGGTCTCACAGTTTGTGATTCTTTGAATATATATATATATTAACCCCCACCCCTTTTTTCCCCCTTCCCACGGCGAAACACCTGAAGATCTAATTGTCAATGTTCTAGACATCTGTCAATTAGATCTCTAATGTTGTATATAGTATGCTTTATATGTATATAGTGTGTTTTAAATGTGGGTTAGGTCTGTGTTCACTTTTGAGAGGAAGCAGCTAAATTTCATTTTTAATGGGCGCCATTGTGCCCACAGGGAAAAAAATGACAATAAAGGTGATCTAATCTTAATATCTGGAGATCTAATTGTCTAAATAATTGCACATTAGATGTGTGGTAGGTGTCAAATGGAGCCTCCACCTTCAGGGGCAGTGTATATGTGTACACCTGAAATGAAGGGGAATACTGGCTGAAATTGGCCTGAAGCAGCCTCATGGGACAAGAGGGGATTTTTTTGGGAGTAGGACCTGTTTGTATGTTTTGTGTGTTGTGAGAACCCACCCATTTGGGTGGTTCATGATAAGGTGTATTGCGTGAGCCCCCTCCCCCCCCCAAAAAAAGTTGAATAGGAAATGGGAATCCAGATAGCCTTTATTAGGAGAAAAAAATGTTATTTTAAAGGCCACGTTCATATTTAACCTAAACGTTTTGGATAGGCCAGCTCAGCAAATTTTTAGTTTAGTTTTGTGCTTTCGGTTAAAAATAGTCATTTGAATTAAATGGAGGGGTGGAATAGTTCTGCTGGATACAATTAGAGGCTAGCCAGCACCCTTTAGTTTGTGCTTTTAATGCAGACTTTTAATTAAAAGGAAAGCCTATTTTTAAAAAAATTAACATCCTGTTTTCGAGTACTGTACTTTATTTTTTATTTATTTTATTAAGAAAATTTACGTGGCCACCCAACTTACTCATCATGGTGACTCCATTCAGCTTACAGAAATAAACCCCAATACAAAATCCAATAATACTTCCAAGAAATGCCCAAGGAAGGTATAAAATGATCAACTCTTGTTTTCATTTTTCACTCAGCAGCTAATACTCAGTACATCATGTTGCTTCTGTTTAATAGATGTTGATCTGCTAATTGCTAATAGTTAAAGATAAACCTATCCTGTATAAATGCAGTTACATTCCTTTTACGTTTTTCAAAGTAAATATTCATCTTTGTGAGTAAAATTGGCTTTCAATACTGTAAACAAAAGCTGTCCTTTAAGAATCTAATAGATTTCAGTAAAATAAGATATATTTGTGTGTCTTCTGGAGCGAAGGATGAATTTGCTTGATTATGAAAAACTAAATGGAGAATGTTTACATTTGTAAATTTGGGGACGATGGTGAAATAAAAAGCTTCATTTTTAAATTACAACTTGAACTGAAAAAGAATTGTGAACCGACAGAAAATATGGTCATATAGAATATTGGTATAAAAATTAAGTTAGAAATATTGACGGCTGAAGATGGGTAGAATCCAGTAATTTGATGAAATACCAGTGAATGTTGAATGTTTGGAGATTAACTTTTTTTCCCAAACTCCAGTGTTAATTTAAATAACATACTTTTAATAGGTTGAACTATTAGTAATGTGAGACTGGGGGTTAGAGGGAAAGAGGTAAATAATCCAAAGGAAAGGGATTAAGGTACCAATAACTAGGATTTATTGAAAAAGAATGAAGACTTCAATTTCAGTCCAAAATGTAGGGCTATTTAACCAGGGGTAGGTAACCTTGGCTACGCTGGCTCAGGAATTCTGGGAGTTGAAGTCCATGAGTCATAAAAGAGCCAAGGTTGCCTACCCCTGGGATAGACATTTATCTTTGGAAGAAAATACTGGAATCTAAAATTCTACAGTTAATGCAAGGTTTCAGTGGGTGTGTCCTTTCGATCAAGATGAGAATGTTTTCAAATGTTTATATGGCAATTTGTAAACTCATGTTGGGTGTGTTCCTTTTATAAAACGTGCATCATAGGATCTGGGCAGGTGAAGTATCTATATTTAGTAGCTGCTAGGAATGAGTCAGAGTTTTCTGTATATCCTTATAGCCATTTACTGCCTGATTGGATTTTAGCAGCCCCACAATACAGCCTACTTGATTCTGTAACAAGAATTTGAATGTTGCTAGTTTAGAGAGAAGTTGGAAAAGTGAGTTTACATATTTACCTATTGCTCTATCCACCTTGTGATACAAGAAACGTGAATACTATCAGACAAACACTTGTAAACAGAATATATATATATATATATTGTGTGTATATATATATATATACACACATACATACACACACACACACACTTTCATTAAAATTATTTCCTCCCATAGGTAGTTTTTCATACATTAAAAATCATTTGTCTATTCTTTCTGGTGAGAATGTGCTTTGAAAGCAAATGTGCATTGTTTTGTGAGGTATAACTCCATCATATGCTACTTGTTCCTGTGTAGGAGCAAAGTTGCTTTGGGATGGTAGATAAACTTCTATAAATAGAAGTTCTTTGTACAGACTTCAAGCTGGAAGTGGTAGTAAAATGAATAGCTTGCATCTTCATTATTGAAAGTTGTGTTTATAGTACTTCCCCTAATTTTTACATATGTTTTTATGATTGTTTAAATGTTGTAAAGGAGGCTATTTGTTTTTATTTTAAAATGGCCTCTGGAATAATGCAAAGAGCTTCCAGACTCATAGCTAGTCTGTTAAAATTTCTTGTTCTGCATTTCACATCCTAAAAACAGCATTGCCAACTATATAACCTCAATCAGTGCAGGATTTTAAAAATAAAGCTATTGAAGAATTCATTTGTTATTTTAAAATAGGCATTTTCCTATTATGTCAGGATTCCTGCTGCAAAACATCTGCACATAGTAAAAAGCATGCTTTAAAAATAAAAGATTAAATATTTAAGACTGTATTATTAGGTTGTAATTCTGTGGCCTTTTGGAAAATGTCTCAGACTGTACCAAAATTTCTTATTTTGACTTTGAAGAGAAGATTCGAACCTTGGGAGAGAAAACTTCGTCCTTTTTTCTGCCATCTTTCCAGGTGGAAAAAAAACAACTAGATATAAATTAAATTATGTTTCAGTAATAATAGTTGAGCACCATATTCACATTCACCATTGAATAAAACCATCTTGATTAAAGTAAAAATATACGTGCATGGTAGATAATTGATGTATCACTGTTTTGTTTTGGAGTACAGAAAATGATACTTTAGAACAGAATAACACGATCCTTTTCTTTGGTCAGCATGTTTTTAGGCTGAGCTCATACTTCAGTGTTAGGAATGTAAATTACAATATATTATGATAACATTATTTTCTTAAAACAACCGACAAGGGGGCATGCGGTCCAGGGCCCTCATGACTGCCAAATCGCTGGGATCCTGGGCCGAAAACAACCTCAGGAGAAGCAAATCAACACGGTAGACCACTCAGAGTGGAGCCTGCACCCTGCTCTCTTCAGGGACGCGTGGTTATAGTTGATAAATGGCAGCTCTCTTGTAAAGGCTGAACTATAACAAGTCTAGCAAGCTTACCAGGTTTGCCCTGACAGTCTCAAATTCTTTGTACAACCATGATAAGCATCCAGAGAATGTTTGAAGGAAAGGCCCTGTTCATAACTTTCTTAAGACAATAAGCAGCACCATGTCAGCTAAGCCGTTGGATTGGTTTTATAGGGGGAAACCAGAGCTGTTTGATCTCCTTAATTTTTACTGATTTAATCACCTTCACATCTGCCATTGATTTGACTATAATGCCATCGTGTATTCTAAATCTGTTGGTATCTTTCCATTTGAAAATTGTATCCTTTTGCAGAGCCTTGTACCAAGGGGGTGATTTTTGATATACAGTAGTACTTTTCCTGTGGGATGGCAAATACACAAGCATGGGCAGGTAACGGTCATGGTTTTGAACTAAGGGATGTCCCACTTAGAATCATATCACTTAGGACAGGGGTCCCCAACCCCTGGTCCGTGGACCAGCACCAGACCGTGGCATGCCAGAAACTGGTCTGTGCCAACAAGCAAAGCCCCATCTGCGGGATGCAGGCAGCACACAAAACCATGCCTCCTGGTCCCTGGTGCTCAAAAGGTTGGGGACCTCTGACTTAGGTGACCTAGTTGAAGAGCATTTGTACCATCTCATCTGCCGTTCAGAGGGAGGCAGGAAAGAATGTGGAAAATCAGTTGCTTTACATCCGGTGCTTTTTCTCATTCTGTTCCTCTGTTTCGTTCTTTTCTCCAGGCTTGGTATGTAAACTTTTAATGCATGCAATTTTTTCTTATAACAATATGAAAATATTTCAAATGAAAGGAGAAATTGCATGAATACAGGTAGTCCTTGAGTTGCAACCCTTAGTTTAACAACCATGGCACTTGAAAAAAGTGACTTAATGACCTGTCTCCCCACTTACGACCGTCACAGCCATGGCCGTGTGATCAAAATTTGGGCTCTTGCAGCTGGTATTATTTCCAGGGCATCACAGGGTCACGTGACTGCCATTTGTGACCCTTCCAGCCAGCTTTCGACAAGCAAAATCAAAGTGGGGAGCCAGATTTGTTTAATGATCGAATGATTCCCTTGACAGCTGCAGTGATTTGCTTAACAACAGTGGCAAAAAAAAAAAGAAAATCTCATAAAATTGGGTGCAACGCAACCACCTTGCTTGGCAATGGAAAGTCTGGTCCCAATTGTCGTAAGTCGAGGACTACCTGTAAATAGATTCCTCTTTCTGCTTCCAAAATCTTTTTCTGGTAATAACTTTCTTCTTTTCTTTCTTTCTAGTCATGCTATCTCCTAAGCTGTGTCCAGTTCCATTCAAGACTATACTACAGTACTTGTCTTGGTTCATGTTGTACCTGTGAGGGAACCACAAGGTTAGAGAAACCAAGATGGCTTGCATCTTAGGCTTCAGTAGAGAAGCAGTTCATTTTTTCCCATATATTTCCTTATGTCTAGCAGTGCTGGCATTTCAGCAGTTACCATTACCAATCTTGAGAGAGTTTGGGAAACAGCCAAATCATTACGGTGTATTTATATTGTAGCAATTTAAAATGACAGAACTGTTGTATAACAAGAAACCCACCGACAGAATAGGGGGAACTAGAAAAAAAGTTTCAAGATCCTATTAAAAGCAAAACCTTTCTTCAGTTATATTCCTGTATCTTAAGAGTGAAAGCTCCCACTTCTCTTAGCAGCAGATAAATCTACATCTTCAGTTTAAGTAAGGCTCATCCCGTTGAAGTGCCTCAATTCTCCTTTCTACCCACTATAAAAAAATTCTCTGGATGGATTATACTTTCATAAGGGTGTTTAAAATGCTTACAGAAACGCGTTCCTCTTTTGCTAAACAGTTTGAAAATCTCCTTAAATGGGAATTACAAAACTAAGTACTATCTACGGACATATGCATAAATGGATAAATAACATGATGCACTTAAATTCACACTAAATTAATATGAACATCATTTGGGAATAAAGAGCAGGATTTTCCAAGATTTTCTTTGCCTAATAGCTATCTATGCCCGATAGTTCAGGAGGGTCTGCGACAACTTAACCACAGCCAACTCGCCATGCGACAATTTTGCCGCGGGAGAAGAGTTATATTAATCTTGAAAAAATAGTGGAATAGAATCATTAAAAGAAAGGATGCCGAAGGAGGGAGAAAATGAAATGTGAATGACAAAACTTGAAATAATGGTTTAACTCTTTTAAATAATTAAACTGAGTTGTCGAATCGTCCTGTGACGAATTGGCCATAGGGAATTGTCTGTGGCAAATGAGTTGTCCCATTGTCTGTGCCTGCAATGAGTTGTCCCATTCCCGTTCAGAACTACCCACCCTTCTAAGATATGTAAGCATAGAGACTCTTTTTTTTCTGATATTTGTACACTCGTTTTAAAGCAGCGGTTCTCAACCTGTGGGTCGGGACCCCATTTGGGGTCGATCGACCATTTCACGGGGGTCGCCAAGCAAGGCTGTCCGCCATTTTTTTGTCCACCATTTTTTTTGTCCACCATTTTTTCCGGCGGGTGTCTTACCTCCCTTGGGCTGGGCCAGCTGGTGGTCGGCCTGCTCCGTCTCTGCCGCTTGCCAGCTACGCCTCGGCCGGCGCAGGGGGCGGAACCACGCATGCGTGGCGCTCCCTGGCAGGGAAAGTCCTCGACTTACGACCAGTTGGGTAGTCCTCGACTTACGACCGGTTTAGTCCTCGACTTACGACCGGTTTAGTCCTCGACTTACGACCGGTTGGGGTCGCGGCATTAAAAAGGTTGAGAACCACTGTTTTAAAGTAAAAAGCTATAACTGTAAGTATTTTGAGAATAATGCAGTCCATTGGAGGAATAAATTCTTTTATGATTCCCCCCCCTCTTTTTTACATTAACCTTTGCTGGATCATTTCATACCCATAGAGAATTTGATTCTTTTTTAATTCGAGGTAAAACTCTGCAGCAAGCATGTTGGAATCCGTGTCTTCATGTTCCTAATTCCCGATTTCACTTTCCATGTACATAGATGGTACAAGCTTCACTCCAAACCAGGGAAGAAAGAAAAAGAACGGGGCGAGATTGAGGTGGATATCCAGTTCATGAGGAGCAACATGACAGCCAGCATGTTTGACCTGTCCATGAAGGATAAGCCCCGGACTCCCTTTAGCAAGCTGAAAAAAAAATTAAAAGGAAAACGGGGCAATGGATTGCCAGACACAGCTTCAGCGATTATTCCCAGCATCACTCACTCTCCAGCCGACAGTGAAGAAGAGTCAAATGAGAAGGAGAAGAAAAAATCCAAGTTCAAGACACTGTTCTCTAAGCCTGGTCTGCATAAAAGCAATATTTCCCAGTCCATGTCTGTGCTACCCACACTCCAGCCTGTTTCGGAGAGAGTTCGACTTCGGCCCACTGACTTTCAGTCCCAGTGGAGTGATGATGAAGACGATGACACTTTGACAACGGTCTCTGAGAGTGAGTAGCCTCTTCCTTAAGAGAAGCGGTTTCATAAACTCTTCTGAGGGCTGTCTAACTTTGAGACACCATATATTTTCTTCCTTTTTTTTTTTTTTTTATTAAAATTGATTTCCCCCTGTCTTTGAGAGAATGGAGCTGTCATGATGATCTCTAGTATATGTCATTGGTTATTTTAAGTCTGCTTTCAATAACCCTGAAGGCCCATCTATTCCGTGCGGCCGGCCTGGCGTAGTTTGATTATGTTTTAGTGAGGGTTTTGTATGGGGTGTTTTTAGAACAGGCCTGTTATTTAATTTGATTTTAGAACAGAAACTATTTATTTATTATCGTGGTTTTTAGTATCGCCTGTTCACCGCCCTGAGTCCCGTAAGGGAGATAGGGCGGTATATAAATTTAATAAATAATAATAATAATAATAATAACCCCAAACCGTAAATATATTGTTTCTAAAAAATCCTCAATTTGTATAGATACGTTCTTTCAGAAATTATTTGCTTACCAAAGGCTGATAGCAATGTTATTTTTTTTTCTTTTCAGAGCCCCCTGCAAACAGAACCAACAATAATGTGCTTGGTCCCCCTTCTGCCATGACCCACAAGAGAACCGGTAGTGGAGACTCCAAGCAATTAAACCAAATAATGGCTGGCAGCGCTAAGAAGGATATGCATTCTTTATTTGGCCTCAGGTCCAAAAACGATCCAGTTTCCAGGTCCAATTTGTGCATCAATGGCAGCCACGTTTACATGGAAGAAAATGAACCAAAGAGCGACCCCGTCACAAAAGAAGGCACTCCATCTTCTCCTCAGACATCCCAGCGAAAACGCCTCTTTCTCTCTCAGGAAAACCTGTCTCTCGAACGCGACAAGGAGCTTGAAAACCCTCCCAGGTTGGTCCTTGATAAGTTGCCCTCCGGGTCATCTTCGTTGGAAACCTTTAAAGCCATGACTCTGCCATCGTACAAATTGCTTGCCGGTGGGGATTCGGCAGAAAACAACACTCCGCTTGTTCCAGACACTCCGAAAGAAACCAAGGAGGTCAAAAAACCAGAGAACAAGAAGTCCGGCTTGCTGTCTCTCGTGACGGGGAAAAAAGAAACCAAAGCCAGCGAGGAGATGGGCAACGCTGAGAGTTCTCTGAAGGCGAAGGAAGTGAAGCGTAGTGAAAAAGAATTGGCCAGAAAAGAGACCAACCCTTTTGAGCTCCCCGTGGATGGCAGAAGGGGCCACGGCCCGGCTAAGAGTAGCGCTACAGATGCTGTGATTGCAAAGGCATCAACAAACCCTTTCAGTGAGAACGCTGTGGAAGGGGAGAAACCAGAAAAAAATGCCGCTTCGGTGAAACCTTCTCAGACGAAACATGTCAAGCCCAGGTTTGTAAAGAAAAACGCTTGGCTTTCTGCTAATATAAAGATGGTTTCACCACCGTCATCTTATTTGTCAAGGCTGCCCACTTTAGAACACTTGGGTAGCTTATAACGTTGGACGGCACAGTGAACAGTTAAAAACACAATATCAAAACATAACTGCCCCCACACAAAAAAGCAACCTTGACAAACAAGCATACAAGGGGTTCCACAGTCTCACCTATTCAGAGTTACATGGTGCCCAGAGTCTCTTTGGCGAGTGAGATGGGCAGCATATAAATTTTATACATAAAAAAATAACTTCAGGCCTTCCAGAACCCCAGGAGGAGAGTGCGTGCCATAGATATCTCGAGTGGGGAGGGATCGAGGATGCCGTTTCAAAGGTCACAAACATATTAGCATATAATACATTTAGTAAGATTGATCTTTTAGCTGGGACAGGTATAAGGTTCAGGGTGTATCTGATCTGGGTATTTAGCAGTTAGATCATTCTGCAGGTGACCTGCATGGTGCTCTGTATTCTTAGAAAAAGGAGAGTAACACATGGCCTTTGCAAGCTACCTTGTTGGTTTTTCTAAGGAGAAAAAGCAAAATAATTGCTATTCTTGCCTTCAGGGTAGAAGTGTTCCTCATAGAGGTTCTACAGCTGGAACACGAAGGGAATTGGAAGAATTATTTGAAAACTAGGCTGTTTTATGTTGTGTAAGCTGATTAGATTTGCAAAGTAGTTCACGTGTCCCAAACTAAATGTTTAATCAAAGTACGTCACTATAGATACTGAGGAATATTGATAGTGACTCAGGTTCATTGTTTTAATTTGGTGATATATATTATATATGTGATAACTATGTCTTGTAACTTTGACTTTGTACTAACTATATTTTAGAGACAGAGAAAGTGCGACTTATCAAAAACAGTGCTGTGCTTTCTAACTTTTGTGTCTTGGCTGCTTTATATATTTGAAGGCTTTGCTGCTCATGCACTCTATTTAATCCACTGAGTTTAACAAAAATATAACACTTTATAGACAGATTTTCTAGAGACACAGTTTATTGCTTTTCCATTTACAGTGTTAAAAATATCACAGCACAAAAGTATGCTTGGGTGCTTCACTAAAACCCTATATCCCTCCCTTATTACTAACATGCAGCAGCTTCTCTAAACTTTTTATCTAAAATGTGTCTGCTTGTCTGAGGTTGCATCTGCAACTGACATGCAGGTTTTATTTTGTCCCTTCTTACAGACTGGGCGTGTCTTCAGAGGATGAAACCAAAGCCACTGTCACCTCTTTTTCTCCTGCTCCTCTTCCTCCTCCTTGCTATCCTTCAAATAACGAAAATAATCCTTTTACTTCTAAATTGGATGCAGAACAGAAAACTCAGGAAGCTGATAGGTTTGATAGCTCAAAGAATGTTTCTGTTAACAATCCATTCGCTACAAAATGGATGCAGGATCCTAGAGACTTGGTATGCTCTGCAGTTTCTGTCTCTCTTCCTTCAGCTTCTGGCCGTGAAAATAATCCGTTCAGTCCTAAATGGGAACAAGACTCTCAGACGCAGGAGATGGAAACCTCTTCCTTATACACTCGACACTCTGCAGCTTCCATTACTGAAACTCATACTATTCCTTCTCAGCTTTCTAATGTTGATGATCCTGTTGTGGTCAAAGTAGGACAGGAATCTGAAAGAATTAAAAGTCCTCCCACATCTCTAAGTTCTATATCTGTAGCTGAAAACATTGATAATTCCAAGTACCCTGATGATGTTTCTTCAGAAAGGTTTCAAAATGAAAACTTAACTAATCAAACAGATGCTATATCCAACTTCTCTGGCTCTCTAGCTGAGAGTCTTCCACCACAGTCTTCTGACCTAGTTAGAGTGAACCCAAAAGCCCCATACGATGACAAAGTGCATATAGTACTGCCTTTTAAAGAAAACAATGGGATGAAAAAGTCAGTAGCCTTTGCCCTTGATGAATGGAAAGAGGATGTAATAAGTAGTCCTAATGACCGTGCAGACGAAGATTCACTTGAGGTAAATGAAAATGAAGAAGCACTAAATCCATTTGAAAAGAATAGCAGCCAGGCAATTGAATTAAACGCAGAAAATAGTTGTGGCTCTAAGCCTGACGAAGAAGGGATAATTTCTGTTCATACTAGTGGGAACCCCTTAGAGAAGGAAGTTGAATCTGGCTACTTATCTAAAATGGAGCCACCAGTACCCACTGCAAGAGTCCTCATTCCTCTGCAAACCGAAATGGCAGTTCCTGAGCTGAGTGACAAAACACACTCTGTACCACCAAAACCAGCACCAAGAAATGGTTTGAAAGTGAAAAAATGTGCACCTCTAACTGATGAATCAAAAGAAGATGGGTCAAGCATGAAACATGCATCCGTTTTCAAAGAGATTTCTCCAGACAGTTCAGTCTTTAGTGAAAAGCCAAGCCATATTTGCTCATTAACTTCAGAAATGGCCGTCCTTCCTCGTGGATACGATAGTGGTCATACGGATCCATCTCAAAGTATTAAGGATGACTCTAACCACATCATGAGAACATCACTTGGGATTTCAGGCCCCGGAGAGCTGAATGTAACTCTTCCTGTTATTCCAGAAGTCGCTTCAGATGACGAGCAATTAGGGGATTATCAGCAGAATCCTGAAAGTATGGCACTAGGTGAAGATTTGTCAAGAAATGAAGATGGCTTTGTGAACTTGTGGTCTTCTGTTGAGAGGACAGATCTGACGTCAACTAAGAAAGCTATTGGAGAGACCGTATCAGGTCTCATGCAAATGAGTAATTTGGGCAGTTCATCCAACAGATTGTTGCAGGATCCAACCCACAATGTATTGGATGCAGAAGTACCTAAAAACCCAAATCGTCCCCTTACAGGCATAGAAAAGAAGGGTGGAGAATACTCAAAGAAAAAGAGGCAAGAAGATTGTCCCGAGTCTTCTGCTGAGCCTGTTTCTCTTTACCCTCTGTCTGATTCTTCTCAGTCTTGCTCTGTTAGCTCTTTCCAGTCTGATTCTCCTGGCTTTAATAAAGCAGAATCTCCCCAAAAAGCCACAGCGGAAGAATTGGATGCCAAAGTGAAAAGCTCTGGCAAGAAGAAGCTACTTCAGGCAAGGGTTTCACCCTCTGAAACATATCCCAATCCTGGTGGAAATTCTGCCAAACTCAGGTGAGAAAACAAGCAAGATAGGTATTAGGGGGGGGGGTCCAATATAAAAAAGCATTAGCTGCTGTTGCATCCTTGATATCTCTCTTTTTGGTGGGAAGGTGGAAAAGCCAACTTTATTTATAACTTTAATACATGAAATGGGGAAATAATAAGTCACGGGGATCTACTCCGTACAAGGCTAGAGCTTCGCATGTCCTGGATATTTTGTCATGTATCTCTCAGCCTATCTAATTTATTATGAAAATAAAATAGCAAAAGGGAAAAATTTGGCATAAATTCCTTGGAAGAAGGATAGAACATAAAATGTATTAAGTAAACTTTTAGTCTTATTTGAGCGTGTTATTTAATACACTGTTTTGACTTGTAGTTCTACCATATGGTGATGCCAGCCATACAAAAGTGTCTTATATTTGAAGGTGAAAGGTAAGAGGTAAAGAAAAAAGTGACTTTGCAGAATTCAGGTGCGCAGTGCTTTTTGTTACACCCAGAGTAGACCTGTTATGTTGTTCACTGTAAATGTTATCTCTAATTTTAGACTTCATCCTGTGAAGCCAATGAATGCTACAACTAACCAACCATCTGCAAAAATCTTGAGCATAAATGCTAGGATGCTGGATAATCAAACTGAAATCAATCTGAAGGTACTTAAGGCGTTTTTTAAATGTATGGGCCATCTCTGGCTCTGTTAATTTCTGTTAATCCTCACTGTTGAGTACATGAAAATTGAATATTAGAAGAGGAGCCCATACCTGTTTTAAAGCACAGTATAATATTTTGTAGCTGTGATTAAAATGTGTGCTCCTTGTATTCTGTGTTTTTAACTACTTTTTTTTTATGAAGACAACGGTTGAAGGACAGTATAATCCCTTTTAAAATGTGACTGGGGAATGTATGAATTGCATATGCTGAAAACTTGAAACTCTTCTAAAAGCTTTCAGCATAAGATATTTTGGTACAGGATTATACAATGGTTATTGACTGTGTGTATGAAGTTTGTAGGGGTTTGATTTTGTACAGAAATTAGACCTTGGTTTTCTCAACTGAGACTATGGCAGTGGATGATTTACATGTGATGTGTTAAGAAGTTTGTCTTGATTTTTACTGGTTTGAGCAGCAACAACCAGAGGTGGGCTTAGAAAAGCTTAAAATCTTCATCTCCATAAATGTCCTTCCTAGCTAATGCTGCACTTTTACATTTTTGTGATATTTTTTTTTAAGCGGTTGCTTTTAAGCAGGGGTAGGCAACCTTGGCTCTTTTATGACTCGTGGACTTCAACTCCCAGAATTCCTGAGCCAGCATGGCTCAGCTTGGAAACTTCTCCCTTTCCCCTCAGCATGGCTGGCTCAGGAATTCTGGGAGTTGAAGTCCACGAGTCATTAAAGAGCCAAGGTTGCCTACCCCTGCTTTTAAGCATCACTGAAGCATTTTTGAAGTGCATGCTCGATCCCTGAAGCTAAAAGTCTGGGCTGCTTTCTTATTTTGGAGTCTATTGATGACAACTCTTTCTACCGACATGACTTTTTCTTCCCCCCCCCCTTCTTTTTCCTACAGAAATATGACCGTTCAGATCCTGCCTGTGCTTATGCTCAGTTAACTCATGATGAACTGATCCAACTGGTGTTGAAACAAAAAGATATTCTTGTCAAGCGAGATGTCCAGGTACGAGAGCTGGAAGACTATATAGACAACTTGCTTGTCAGAGTCATGGAAGAAACCCCCAACATTCTTCGGATTGAAGTCCACCCCAAAAAGAAAGCTGGAAAGATGTGAAATGACACCTCAACCTGTATGAAGAAATTTTCTTAGTCCAACTTGACTAAGAGAATGTGAAATGAAATAACTGTTACTTCAGCAAAACAAAGGTTATTTCTTTCTTTGGGTAAAATTGGTGTCTTGTCTTCGAGACTGGTTAGATATAATCCAAAAATGACAATCTTTTCTTCAGATACTCTTCTAGTACAATGCACATATTTTGCTCCTCTGTTTATGATTAAAAGTATGACTTATGAAACTTCAAGAGAGTTATGTTGAATCAGTTTTCTACTGTGAACAATACTGTACCTGGAGCATTTATACAGAATTTTGTGTAAAGTTGAAAAATATTTGCCACAGTTTTCAAATTTCTGTGGGTCATACTAGGTTTTTGTGCAATATATACAATCTTATCCTAAGCAATTTCATGCTAATTCGCTGAAAACACTGGAATATCATCAAGTCCCTCGTTTTAATTAATTAGCTGGGGAAATGAAGATATTACTGGAAAACTGGATGCCTTTGAAACCATCATTGTGACTTTCACAGGTTCTTATCAATTGGAGCTTGTGCTGTGGATGTTTACAGTGGATTGTGTACTGAGCTATTTGCATTATTCATTTGGGAACCATAGGTAAAAAAAATTGCATAGTAACGGCTGGTGAACAAACATTGCTTGCTTGTGTTGTCTACATTGAAATGGTATGTGAATAAGAGTATGCAAAACATTCAGCACTAAGTTTTATAATCTCTAATTGTGACTGGTTTGGGGTCCATTTTATTTGATCTGGATTGGGATAAACTGGCTGATAGCACTAGAGCACCATAGCTAGTCACTCAGTTGTAGGTGATGATTTCTAAATAGAGATTAAAGCAGGGATAAGTAACCTTGGTTTTAAAAAGAACAAAACTCCAGGAGAAGTACTAGGTTGCTTATTCCTCTATGATTTTAGGAATGTGGATGAAACTGGAATGTTCCCAGACTTTTAAAAGTTTGAAAGTACATATTCACACAATTCTTAATTGGCCATGAGTATTGACTGAGCTTGCTTTTTAGTCACGTCTTCTTTGTTCAGAAATTGATGTGTTTTTCTTCCTTCCCTTTCACTCAATAAAGTGTTCCCAAAATGTCTTCCTATTTGCAAACACCTACACAAAAATTCCTCTTAACAAAGTTCTTTTCAGAAAATCTAAGAAAATCGGTGTACTTAAGTTTTTTTAGAATAACAGTCTTCTTAGGCTAGTACAATTACTTTTGTCAGGAAGGGTCAGGCAGTTTTGGGGGGGATTCTGGAAGTCTCTTGAATTCTTCCAGATTCTGTATTCTTCAGAGATATAATTGCTTGTGATGGTTATTATGGATGAAAATCGTCTCAAAATTGTAGATTTTCAAAATCCGCAACCGATGAGCAAGCAGTTAGAGAAATCTTAGGTATTTTTTGTTAAGGTGAAGAAAAGGCATTCTTTCTCATCAGATGCCAAGGCAAATGTGTCTGCAAATCTTGAACACTTTTTTCCTTTTCTGTGCAGTGAAAAAGTTGGGTTAAATTTTGCTCCTTTTCAGGAATTGCTAAGCAAAGCCTCCATGTAAGCCCTTGTAAATTCCAAGCATTTATTTGCTGTGCCCAGAGCTGTACATGCAATATTGACAGTTAACTCAAGTTTTCCTTTCTCTTTAAGAATATCTATCCTATGGTTTGAAATGAACAAACGTGAATATCTGATAAGTTGCTCAAATCTGAGAATTTTCATTGATACTTAAATTCCATTTTATTTGATCAAGAAAACTAAACAGGACAGTATTGATGTGAGAGAGTGAAGAAGCGAGTCATCATGCTCTCCAAGCAGCAACTTTCTACATTGAGGCATTTGTTTTGGAAATATTTGGTTTGAGCTTGGCCAGAGTGTTTATGCTGGTAGTCTTGTGTTTCCGATGTAAAGGTTTTGAATTGTCAGGCTTTTCCACAGCTAACTTCTCTTTCCCTAGAGTAGAGAAATGTAGCCTGATCTATTTGTTGCAGTAATTACTGGAATACATATTAGGTCTACATTACCTTTCCACAATAAATAGCCTATATTATTTCTGACAAAGACTAATTGGAAACATTCACATTTTCAGCATACAGTTCATGCAGGGTTTATATAAAATAGATCAAACTTCCTTTTTCCTGTGAAAATAATAGTATGTGGTAAAGTGGGAAGTATAAATACAGTACTTTTAAATCTTGCTGACTTTTTAAATGGAAGGTTAAATACATTTTTAATTCTAAAGCAGGACAGTGGATACCTTGGTCTTGGACTATGGGTGAACTGTGCCTTAAAGGAAAGAATGCGTACTCCAGATCTAGAAATATTTTATTCTGGATCTAGTAAGAAAACCGCATTTTCTATCGTATTTTAAAACTGACCTTGAACTGGGCATCTTCCTTTTTATGATTTACAACAAAACCTTAGATTAGAATGTAGAAACTACATATAGAGATTAGCAAGGTACTTTGCAGAGTTAACACAAATCTATCCACGTTTATGTTCTAGCCACTCATATCTACTACTGATTCAAAATTGTTAGCAATCACAGCTAGCTGATTATATGTAGGTACCTGCAGCAATCCAAGGATTGTTTAGAGACATTGAGGAATTAACTTAATCATTTGCTACAGCTGTTGTTTATTATCTTCCTATGCACTTTAATGAGGGATCTGTTTGGCACTGAACAGTTCTTCATCCCTCTTATACTTAGTCACCACACTGGATTACAATATAAGTTTGTGAGCTAAATTTACTAACTAGCATATTTGCCACTATATAATCTGGCAATCACCAAAGAACAGAATAGCTTAGGTGGCTAAGGTACTCATGTTTTGAGAAGAGGTGTAGTTTGTATGACTTACGTTACCAATGCATTCATAACCTAATTACATATTTTAAGGTTGGGTATGAAATGAGTAATATATTTGAATGTCAGATTCTGAGGGAGGAATAGATCATACTCTCTGTTGTTGCCATAAACGTGAGTGTTGAAATTTGTGGAGTAGATGTGTCTGCCTCTTCCTATGCAGCATAGTTCAAATCTGAGGAACTATAAAACAAGCTTTCTTTTTGCTTCGTTTGTTGAGTTAGAAGAAGCATTTTGAACTTTTCCACGGAAAAGAATAGTGATCTGGCATATTGAAGGCGGTACAATATTGTGAAATTGCTGGTACTGAAATGTGTAACAATACATACCTTATTTTATAGGTAGAAAACATTTTGGAGGGTATTTTAAAGTCTAGCTATTTCCCTCTGCTGGTTGTTAGCATAATGCTATATGCTTTCATGAAAAGACATGCAGGAATTTGTATTACGTGTCTTATTCCAGAATATCAAATAGCTGTTTTAATACCATGCTCCCTAAGAATAATTTTCCGAAATTGACTGGAATTGTACTGTAAACATGTCCGCTAATAAAATGGCAAGTAGCAAAACAAAAAAAGAAACAAAACTCGTGCTGGGCAAATTTTGAGCAGATTTGAGAAAATCCAAATGTAGAATCCTTTTATCTTGTTAATTTTAAATTTTAAAATTAATTTTAATTTTAAAAAACAGTTTATTTTAATATAAGTTCCAGTAAGCTAGCATTGTTATTGGTCATTCTTGTTGAATATTATGGGAATTGCAATCTCAGTTAAGAGCGTGCTAAATTTTCCAACCTGAAACAGGCTGTCTGCAGTTTCAATAATTGGAAAAGTCCATTTTGTGTTTGGAATGTTTCATGATAACCTTTTGTACAAGGCTGATCTCAACATAGTACACAAAGAACACTAAATTGGGGGAAGGTAGTTTTAAGTCATAGCTGTATGTATTTAACGGGTTTTAAGTGGGGCAGTTTCACATGTTGTGTAACATACAATGAAGGAGTTACAACGGGGCCCAGTTGTTGCCAACTTTGTCTTTGTGCATTATATATCACTCAATATATAATGTAGAAATAACAGTGCCTTAAAATCAGTATTTTACTGAACAAATTAAAAATAATCAGTTTATGTAAATTCTTGAGTTTTAATAAAATGGTTATGCAATGAATAGTTTGTCTCCCTCTGTGTATTTAATGTAGAAGGATTTGAATGTTTGTTTACGCTTTGTTACAGTTGGTACATTGCCTGATGGTTTTTATACAAAGACCTTCAGCCTTATGAAATGTTAAAATAAAGTTATTTAAAGTTAAACGAATATGTGTCCTTTGTTATATATTTTATGCGTTGATAGGCCCAAGAATGAATAAGCATAATGACTGTTTAGTGCACGGATGTCAAACTTGCCACGTCACGTGTCGCGACGTATCGGCAATGGGGTGGGTGCGGCATTGGTATGATGAAACTGGCCCTTGAGCTGACAGTTTGACACTCCTGATTTAGTGAATATCTGTTTAGAAAACTTGTATTCATCCAATCCATTGTTTAAACATAAGCTTCTTCATACAACTGATAGGAGTGTTTATGAAGACAGTTTTATGAATGTGATAGAGATTAGCAAATGAGGGAAGTAGAGAATGTGTGAAAGTAAATAGAATACTTAACTAATGGTTTATTACTAAGTGGGAGTAAGATGTACTGTGTCTTTCATTTTCAATGCATTTTTGAATATAATAAAAGTTTACGGGGAAGTACTGTACTTTTATATGCTGATGTTTTCAGATGTGCAAATGCTGATCAATGTTGTTAAATGTCTTTTTTTTTTTTGCATTTTGTAAAATGTTCCCTGCCTGAAAGGGAATGGTGTGATCACTCACACACACACTCATATATATTACACATACATATATGTACATATATACATTTATCAATTATTCTTACTTTAAAATCCAGCACCAATAACTAAAATTATCCTACATTTAAGACGGATTAGGACATAATGTATGGTTATAAAATTATTGGCTACTGTAGAGAATAAGTGTGATGTTTGGATTATATCTTTAATATCTTTTATTCTAATACCTACACCTACTAGTTTTAGTAGGACTAAACTATTATGACTCTTGTAAACTTTTTCTAATTTCCTCTGCTTTTACATATTTGGTGAGACTGAAATTTCTGGCTATTTTACATGCATATTTCAAAATCTATTTTAATAATCTGTTAACAGAACAGTTCAGATTTGAAGAACGTCAAAAGTTTTAGCAATTTCATTTTTTAAAAAAAAAAAGTTGAGATTTTTTACAATTTGACAATAGGGCTAGTTCTAAATGATTGCATGAAAAGTAATTCAAGTTTTTAAAAAATCCTGCAGTTAAACTCTTAATAACATCCTGATACAAATGTGCTTTTAAAAAAAAAAATTCTGAAGCACCATATCAAAAATAGGCCCTTTGCTGTAAAGGTTCCCTGCTAGAATAGGCTGAGCCCAATTTGGAAATAATTGCAATGCTAAGTCACTGCACAGGAAGGAACTGGATTATCTGAGCAAACAGTATTCCCTGAATTACAGAAGTACTTGTTTTAGTACTATGACACTATAAACATTTCACATGATAGTTTGCTTTTCTAAAGATAGCAACAGTGTTGTCTCTTATTTGCAACTTCTAAAATATCTAGCTGAACTGTTGCTTATGTTCCAAAGATTGACATACACATTTTAAAATATACTAAGCATTTGTTATGAATTTTGTGGTTTGAGTGCATTAATACATAAGATAACCCTTTAGTTATTGCTTGCATACAATTTCTGGCCCTTTGCTTCTATAGTTTTGTCCCTATAATATTAAGGCTCGGGAAAACAAATACACACTCTGCTCTAATCAGATTTATTTATTGTTAACTGTTGGTGTAATCAGAGGTTGGTGCGTTAATCTTTCATACGTTTCTGGACTCTACTATGCACTATTAGAGAGCCAGTTTGTTGTGCTTTAGGGGTTAAGGCTAGAGGCTAGAAATCAGGAGAAGTGAGTTCTACTCTCATCACAGGAACAGCTAGCTGGGTGAGCAGAGACCAGTCACATGCACTCAGCGGTAAGAAGGAGGCAATGACAAACCACTTCAAAAAAAAAATTACTAAGAAAACTGCCGGGATTAGTCTGCATGGCAAGAGTCAACATTGATTCAAAACAACAAAACAAAACCCATACATGACTATTAAGGTTATACTATGCACTGCAAAGTTTGTACTTTGTATAGGCAAATTCAGTTTTTGATCATTTTGTTCCCTAAATGGGATTGTATGATCTCCTTTTCTGTAAGATTAATGGCTGTAGATTGGAAACTCTGATTTTATCTTCTGACAGTGCCATGGGGAATATCAAATAGTCATCTGGGGCATCTGGGTAGTCACATACATATACACAGAATATCCAAGTTCCATTTCAATTTTCAAGCAAGTAATACATAATTGCTTGTAATTCTAAGGCTTTAGCTAACCTGGAAAATGACAACATTTTAACGCTAAAACGCGCAATCCTTGGGACCTAAGATGTTTGTACCTTAAAGAGCAATATCCCCATAAGGAATTGTTTGATTTATTTTGTTCTGCTGAATGATTTGTTGCAGCTACCCAGCTCCTATAACGCATTACAATATCAGGGATACATATACATATACAATCCTGAGGTGCTAAACATCTAGCCAGTTTGTTCTACCCAGCCAATAGCAATTGACATGATAGCAACTTTAGCACTTGCTACTCTACAGATGGGGAGAATTTAACTTGAAATAAGAAACCTCTTTATGGTAACTGCACCAGACCTTAAAATCAACTCTGTATAATACATGTACAATCCAGAACACTTACCTTCATGGCTGTGTTAGCAAATTTGTTGATGCAACATTACCTTAACATGGTTTAACAAATTAACCCTGGTTAACCTTGAATTCAAGTTTGAATTTTTGTTTATCCTGGTGAATATGGCAAAAATCCAATTAGTCTCTTTTACATACTGACCCAATAAACATTTTTTTTTTCTCAGAAGGAAACGTTTTATAGAGAATGGTTAACGAGGAAGGTGTTACTGATTTATAAAGATGACACAGTATTGATTATTGTCATAATGGATATCAAATGATTTATGTATTAAATTTCGGACACCCAACTGCATAATATCTCTGCTCCTGGCATAAAACAGGTTCCAACGCAAAAAAAGGAAGTCCCGACCTCTTTTAACAAGGAAGTTAAACTGAATAATAGTAATAATCAGAGGAGGAAGAGAAGGATGCGCTCCTGCCCACCAGGTATACTTCACTTCGAACAAAAGACGTAGGTCCAGGGGTCTCAAAAGGAGCTTAAATAGATCTTTCTCTTTAAATAGATCTTTGTTTGTCGGCGAAGTCGCGAATGGGCCTTAAAACAAAGGAAGAAACAAAGAGAAGCCTTTGATAATTTGCCACGAGTGAAGCGGCGACCGACCTATGACTCACGCGGCTTTTTCCGCACAAGGAAGCTTTTCAAAGGGGGTCGCGTCCTGTTTCCGGTTTGAGGGAAATAATAAAATAAAACGATTCAGTCCTCGGAGGGAGTGCGAAGTGGAGTTGTTTCTTTTCGGCATACGGCCGTAGGAGGATAGCCCTCCTCGTCCTCTGACTCGCAATAAGGTACGCGAATGCCCTACAGCGGCTGCTATAGGTCGGTCTTCCCCGACTCCCGACTCCCTTAATCCCAGCGCTCCCGGGCCCATATTGGTTATGAAAGTGGGTGGGTGGGTTGCACGGTGTGGGTCTTCGAACAAGCATCTTGGTGGGCTCTGGCTTAATTAAAAACCGTAGACCCATCCCCAGGCAGCCCCAGCGATCTCTGTGGGATGATAGTGTTTTTTGTTTTGATTGCAAAACGGTTTTAGGTCCTCTTAACTCTGTGGCCCGGGTTTCCTCTTTGCCTGCCACTAGTGATAAAATCTCATGTGTACAAAAGGTTTTAAATTTATAAGGAGAAATTTCCTGACATTTAGAACAATTCATCAGCGGAACCACCTGCCTCCAGAAATTGTGAATGCTCACTGGAAGTTTTTAAGAAGAGATTGGACAACCATTTGTCTGAAATCATACAGGGTTTCCTGCCTGAGCAGGGGGTTGGACTAGAAGACCTCCAAGGTTCCTTCCAACTCTGTTATTCTGTTTTACCCAATACAGAAATTGGGGTGTTTTTAAGAAGAGACTGGACAGCCATTTGTCCGGAATGGTATAGACTAGACTAGAGTCTCCTGGTTGAGCAAGAGGTTGGACTAGAAGATCTCCAAGGTCCCTTCTAACCCTATTATTCTATATTCTAGTAGTGTTATACCAATATATCATGAATGCATTAGAAGATATCCTTGCTGGGATTAGATTGTGCTCAATTGATGCACAAAACTCATGAAAGAGACAGCTTGCTGAGAAGCATACAGTGCATTGCAAGAATTCAAAGGTGGACAGAATGATTCAGCACTGATACACACGTTTGCTAAAATCGTAATAACTGATTGTATTTTGAGGTATGCCCATCTAATAGGTCAAGCTTACCTTTTCCTAACTAGCAAGTTAATTTCTTATGATTACTTCAAATATATAAATTAGACAGGTAGATGGAGGCAGATTTATGTTGATTATACGGAATATGGAAAAAGTTATGCAGCAAACATATTAATCGAATCCCAATATTTTTTCAGTCATTAGTTTAAAATAATTCTGTTTTCAGGCTACTAAAATGTCCACTCAAAAGAAGTGTCCAGATTGTGGCTCCTTGGAAATTGTGGAAGATTCCCACTATACTCAGAACCAGTTGGTATGTGCAGATTGTGGCTTTATTCTAACTGAAGGACTTCTCACAACTACGTATGCTGATGAAGAACATTTACAAGGTGAATCAAAAAATAAAGTGGAACTAAAACTCCTGGGATTATTTTGGATACCTGTGATCTACATAGATAAAAACATCTCTTGTGGCCTTTTATAAACTTCAAACTTTTAAACATTGAACATTAAAAACGTTTGAGTTTTAAAGATTTTTTTGATGAAATGTGATGTTCTTTTTGTCATTTTCCCTTTCTAATTTATTTTTTGTCTTTTTAGAAGTGACATATTCACGAAGTACTGGTCAAAGTGAGCAGCAGAGCCGCTGCTTGCAGCGAGGTAAATGTTTAATATTACCAGTCAGCACTTGTTGGTGCATTGTAAAAATTACTGTATTTCCCATTTGTGAAGTTGTAGTTCCTCTCTAAAAGCAAAATCATTTTATATTTTAATCTACCTGCATCTTTTGTTAGGGGCAGGGCTGATTTCCCATTTCAATTTTTTGGAAGAACTCATTAAATCCCTGGTAGATAATTTTGGGCTGGTACCAGGCTTCTGCCAGATAGGTAGGCTTTAAATTGTCTATATAAAATTGCACAATTATAAAATTGTCTATATAAAAATGGGAAAGTCATTACTGCAGCAGTTCTAATGTATAGGTAGGTAGTCCTCGATTTACGACCACAGTTGAGCCCAGAATTTATGTTGCTAGTTGATGTATTGCAACTGAAAAAGGGTTGACTCTGGCAATTACTTATTTTCTGAAGCAAGAAGTTGGTGTCAAATAAGAGTGGTCCTTCAAAAACTACAGCCCCAGCCAATATTGCGAAAAATATCTGGAGGGCCATGGTATGGACATTTTTCTTAAGAATCTACATTGCCTTCTTCCACAGGAATCAGACGGGTTCGGGATCTCTGCAAAGTTCTCCGACTTCCTCCTCTGTTTGAAGATACAGCTGTGTCGTATTATCAACAGGCAATCAAATGCCCCTGCTTTGCTTTAGTCAGTTTGGAGAAGAAGGAGATAATTATAGGTTGCTGTGTTTTCGTGACCTGTAGACAGCACAACTGGCCCTTGACAATGGGCACTGTCTCCTTGCTGCTTTACGCAGACAAGGAAATGTTTGCCAGAACCTACCTGCGGTTTTTGAAGGAATTGGCACTGGATGTACCAACTCTGAGCTTGATCGATCTTGTGAAAACACACCTCAACAGGTAAGCTGGTTTTTTTTTTAATATTCTTTTCTTATAAACGTCTGAGCCATTGATGTGCAGTTGTTGAAGACCTATGGATGGAATGAATTCTTATTATTTTAGGTTTCAGTATATTGGTTCTAAGAGAATTCTATAGATTGGAAGTGCAGCATAGACACTTTGATGAAGCTAGATAGGACTGAGTATGATTGATGCTTACTCAGAAATGATTGTAGTGAACTTGGATGTTTTCTCAGAGTTGCGGAGATCCTAGATACTTTCACAGTGCTCAGCTAGATCTTGTTATCAGACCTGCCTCAGCTTAGTAAGAACGATACTTAACTCCGTTTATTGAGAAAAGTATAATTTACTAGAAGTCAAGTGCAATACAGTAATTACTTAGAGGCTCAAGCTGAAGCAGGTCTGAGAGTTTTGCTAAACCTGTCTGCTTTCTGAAAATGTTTTGCACATGTAGTCCTCTTGGCTGGTTGTGTTATTCCTAATATAAGATTCAAACTTAGGTTTCAGATAGGGTTAGGGTTATTAACTAATAGTTAACCTGACAGTCTTCAGCTTTTAATTGTCTTGTGCATCTTTGAATACAATCTCATATTTGCCTGATTTGGGCGAATCATTATTATGTTTATTTTATTATATTATATTTATTGCTTGCTAAACACGATCCCAAGAATTAAAGTAGTAAAGCAGCTCTAGAGGTGATCTAAATACTGTTTAAAATGGGAATGACTTTCTTGCTTTAAAAACACAGCTACCTGTAAGGAAGGACAAATATCATGAAATCTCTGATGACAGAGCATTAGCAGGCAAAGCCTGGATTTCCTTAATCAGATTAAATTCATGGGGTTTTTTTTTAGATAATTTCCTCAGATTATATAAATTTACTGGTTTTAATTTAATTGTAAATAACAAATAATACATCATTTTGCTTTTGGGGCATTTGTATTTTGTAGCTGGCCTAGTTAGGAAATACATTTCTACTATTATGTGGGAGAAGAGAATGGATTATTTTTAGGATGAATCTTGCCCTTTACTACTCTACCACTGTATGTTAATCTGCATGCATTCAAACCTCCCCCCTTTTGCTACATTATTTGGGCTATGTGTTAAATCAGTCAAAATATTTTAATTAAATATATTAAATGACTAAATATTGCAACTCTAAACATTGCAATGTAATATTTCCACGACTGTATAAAATTAAAGCAAAAACCACGGGCTGTACTGATAGGCTTTTCCATGCCCCCAATATATTTTGTTCCTTTCAGCTTTAAGCTTTTCCAGGAATCATCCAACATCCCAGCCAAATTTCTGGAAGATAAGGAGAAGCTGTTGGCAAGGACAATCCAGATAGTGGAGCTTGCCAGCGAGACGTGGCTGGTGACTGGTCGGCACCCCATCCCCATTGTGATGGCAGCAGCCTTTTTGGCCTGGCAGTCTTTGCGACCTGTCGACCGTCTCGCTTGCACCCTTACAAAGTTCTGCAAGCTTGCTGGCATGGACATGCCACGGCCGGCCCCACAAAGGCTGAAGGAATTGCATAACATCCTCCTTCAGATGGCCTCTCAGCTGGGTTGGTTGCGAGGGCTCAAAGTGGACCGGAGGACTGTGTCGAAATACATTGGAGACTTGCTGCAACATCGCCGTGTGCTTCTACGGGCGGCGTTCCGTACGGTGGATACCACAGAAGACTGTGAGCCCGAGAACTCCACCGCACCGCCAGACCAGCAGCCTATGAAAGCAACCGCGGCTTTGACAGGAGAGGATTCCGTTGCTGGGAAGAAACGGATGCCGTTGCTTCCCCCTTGTATCCTGTACCCAGCAAAGAAGCCTCGAGCCAGCAATCCAGACCCTGAAGGCCCCCCCATCACAGGGGAAGAGCCCATTTTAGACAGTGAGATTGAACAATACATCCGGACTCCAGAAGAAAGGGAACTGTTTAGCAAAATGCAGGTTCGCCTATGCTAGATGATGTCTTAAAAGCCTGCAATCAGTGACAACAGGGGTTGGGTTCCTTATATAGTCCGTAGTTCCAGAGGAATTTCTCTCCTGAAATTAGACGAAGTTTTCTTGTTCAGATCACGATCTTTCAGAAAATAGCCACCTCATATTTTAATAGGCATTGGTTGGGATTTCCTAGATTCACAGTGTAAGCAGATTGGGGAAAGCAGTGATAGAATATGAGTTGTAAAATCTTTTGCTAGATGTTGAAAGAAATGTTATTAATGTTTTTTTCTTAAAAAGACCGCTCTTTGGCCCAGATGTGTGTTGGTAAAATGAACACCAATACGCTTCCACCACTTTTTCCAGTCCTGGACATCAGAAAAATTTGGATTTAATCTTACTACATTGAAGTTTAATGACCTGCATCAGATACGCTCCTGGTTTATTTTGCCTCTTCTGTTTTGAATTGGAGCGTTCTTCTTTCCAGTTCAAACGCTGCTTTGCATGTTATTTTAGAGATTTTCCATATGGGTCTGGTAACACTGAAGGTAAACATTCATTTAGCATTCAATGGATTAAGTGGACTTGGGCTCTGCAGCCACTGACTGATTTTGAAAGTGATTCCATAAGTAGTGTAGAAAAGGACATATTGCAGTAATTCCCATACCTGGTCATCTGGGCGGCGGCGGGGGGGGGGGGACACAAGAGGAATAAGATTGTGTGTGCCATGATGTCATCATGCAAATAGGTTAATTGTCCTATGTATAAATGGGATGAAATTGGCACATCCCTTTAAATCTTATGTGTGAAACTCCACTTATGTTTTTTTCTCCTTGCTATTTGGCTAGTACCTACAACCTTTTGTATTTGACTTCAGCTATACAGTATATATAAAAAAGCTACAATAAAAAGGTTTGGGAAAAATTAGCCCAATTGAGATGATAAACACCTTTTGAATGGGTGCACAAGTTGGGCTTTTCCAGCCCTCCTGAATAGGTAGGTGTGAAAGCCATTTATTAAGAGTGTGGAGGAGATTTGCCCCCTATCCCCAGTGTCCGAGATGACCAATTTAGTTGCTTGAATGGCTGTTCAATTCACACATCCTTTAAGTGTTGGGTAAGTGAGTCCCATTGCTTGGAATCAGTATACAAGTTTGATTTATGACTGCTCAAATATTAAAAGTGTGTGGGTTGAGATGGCAAAGCATGGGTGGAACATAAGAGCAATACCTGGTTCATTTGGATATTGCAGTTCTTTTAATATATTAAACAAGAAACATCTGCTAAAAACAGTTCATTTGTATAAAATGCAAACACAACAAAAAATGTATTAAATGCTTTCTTTGGCACGGCTGTCTCTCAAAGAGCTCTGGTTTTGATATGTCATTTGCTCAAAATGTAAACCAACAAAAAGAAAGGGTACTTATACAAAGATTTGCCCAATAATAATATTTCATTCTAGCAAGCATATATAACACGTCCAGCATTGCCAATATCATGTGGGTTGTAATATTGCCATATAAAATAGGTAAGGCTCTATTAAACATCATACATATGAAAACCAAGAAGGATGGGAGAAAATGACCTTTTTTTCAAATAAGGAGGATTAAGTGCTTTTATGGCTTTTCGTGGCTATTGCTTTCCGGAAGTCTTAGGCAATTTCAAGGTTGGCCTGGCTTGTGAAACCACACAACCTCTGCAGTTCTGTGGAGGTAGGTTTTATGGAGTAGGTTTTCTCCTTTGTCCCTTCTGCCCTCTGCACAGAGCGAAGGGTTTCTCTTTGTCCTTTTAAACAGGCATGGTATACATCAGTTTAAATGAGTTAATTAAAAATTATGGCACAGTAAAAATAAAATCACATAGACACACACGTGGACAAAGAAGAAGACATTTGTGGTATTTTTTTGCATAGAATGATTGAAGGAAAATTCACCATCTTGGATCAAAATGCTATTACAAGTGGGGTGGAAGTATTCACTGTTGATAGCTTATTTCAATCCTGGAAATAATACTACAGTAAATCAATTACTGTGACTGTTGCAAGGGAGGTTTCTGGGAGTTGCAAGAATCATGGCCAAAGCCAAGATTTTCCACTGGAATGGAAAAACTCCAAGGAATGTTGGGTGCTGTGACCTTGGGTCTTGCTGGACTCTCCTTCAAATAAGGAATTTTGCATTCCTCCAATATTCTGTTCTAAACAGCACCCTCCTACGGTTATAATCTTAGTTCATAAATCCAACGCAAAAAGTTAATTATGTCTGTCTCTGTAAACAAAACAAGGCAACGATCCTAAAGAACTTAGGGATTTAAGCCAACATCTTCCCTCAGACCTAGCGAAAATTTGTAGCACGTTTCCTTGCTACATCCTTCATAAACATGGGTGTGTTATTTGTAAGATGCCAGCCTTTTGCTTTTGATTGTCCACAAAATGTTCCTTGCTGTTTTGTTGGCTAGTACACAAGATAATTGCACAATGTACTCTGAAGAGTTGGTTTTAAAGGCGCAACATGCATTTCTCTCCGCTTTTTACCCCAGTTGGGTAACATGCATTGTTGCAAAAACTTGGAAGTTCAGCAGTTTATCAGCAATTTTGTTGTTGTTCCTTTTAATTCCAATAAACTGATGTTATCATTTGACATGGATAAAAAACCCTCCACTGAGTGCATTGTGTAAACAAATATGATATGCCCCATTTCATAGGCCAAATCCTTTTTATGCTATCATGAACTTTAGAACCTAATTTACTTATTTTTAAAAAGGCACCAACTACTTATGTGGGAAGCTTTGCTTGTTTGTAGTTATATTCACGCAACACGCTTAACCTCATAATTGAAGTAATCGAGTTTCTGGATTTTGCAGTACATTAACAGTAAGAAAATAACTGAAATCAGCATTAATGGGTGTGTGCATCCTGCCGCATTTGGGAAATAAAAAAAAAAACAGGGAGGGAACACAAGAGATGGGGTTATTTAAGACATGGATGTTTTGAGGAAAAAATTCATTTGGCCTTTCCTGGCCTGGTACTTTCTAGAAATACTGAGATTCAGTTAAAAGAATCTCAAAAGCACAACTATCTTTCTGTAGATTTTTAGGTCTTTTATTTTAAGCCGGGAATGAAAGAGGACAGCACAACTTCTACAGAAGAAGGAATTTCTTAATCTACATTGTTATTACTTAGTATGTTCCCCAGTTCCTCCAGAAAAAAATGGTTAAAGGTCTTCCTCAACTTATAACCTCAGTTGGGTCCAGAACTGCCATTGCTAAGGCAGTTGCTAAGTGAATCATGGCTTGATTTTTTTTTTTTGCCATGATTGTTAAGCAAATCAGTGTGGTTAAATGAATCAAGCAGTTGTTAAGAAAATCCAGTTTCCCTCATTGACTTTGCTTGTTGGAAGTTGGGTAGGAAGGTTATAAATGGGGATCATATGATCCTGGGATGCTACAACCCTCGCAAATATATTCCAGTTGCCAAGCACGCCAATTTTAACCATATGACCCTGGGAATGTGTGATGGCTTGTGTGAAGATTGGTCATCATTTACTTTTTTCACTGCTGTTGTAACTTTAACAGTTGCTAAACAAATGGTATAAGTCAAGGACTACTACCCGTATGTACTTTTTGAATTAGGTTTCCCTCTGTCTCTTATTTTCTTTAAAAAAAAAATTCAGAATTCCCCTTAAGCCAAGGCAGGAATCTTTCAACCTTTGAAATGCTAGAAATACAAGAAGCTCACAAAATGGCCGCCACGGCCCATTGGTGAATTCTAAGAAGGACCGCTATGGCAGTCGGGCCAATTTGAAGCTCCCATTTACCAGAAGTAAAACGATCAAGGATGCTCTTTACTACCTTAGTAATATTACAGTAGCTATTAGCTCATCTTTTGTTCTAAGACCAGGGACACACTTTCAATAGCAAAACACTGCTTTTGTCTTTTTCTGTGAGGAACACGCCTGGCCAACAGAGGCACTTCTGGACATAACACGACAGAAGCTGTCAGCTTTTCCCAAAGCTTATCAACTTCCCGTTAAAAATATTGCTTTGATTTTAAAAAGCGGAGTAGGAAATCTTGAAGTTGTTGAGGAAGATGTTTATAGGCACGTCGGTGCTATGAATTCCATGTTGAAGTTCCTGAAGCAAAGATGTGATTCTTAGAAGAAAATAATCTCCTTCTAGTTTGTGGCGTCTTTTTTTTTTTTTCTTTCCTGAGCTGGTAACATTACAGATGCAGTGCTACATACTACTTGGAAGTGTCATCAATCAGACAAGGAAATTCTGTTTTTTTCCCCTCTTCAACTGAGTTTTTCATATCTACAGGAGGGATTATTATGGAATGTGGCACATGGTACGTAAGCAGTGCCCCTATGCTGCTGGGCACAGAAAAATTAAATGCCAGCAAACAGAATAATAAGCTTGATTCTTTCCAGTATTTCTGGAAACTGCCTTCGAGAAAGAATCACAATGCCTTCATTCAGCTCATTTTCGACACAACAGATTCAATCCTCCTTCAATCTGGAGATTGCTGCATAATTCTGTGAAACGGTTACTGTATTACAAAGAGGACTTTTTTTTTAACGTTTGTCACATATACATATAGATTAAGGGAATGTCCCCAAGGTGCTTAAAAACAATATTTCGTAGCTTCCCAAATCCTTAAAGGATTAATGTCATTCAAGCCTCTGAGGCTTTTTTTCTTGGCAATTTTCACTCTATTCTAAAGTTTCATAGTGAGCTACTTTATTATTATTATTTTTCTGTTTGCTGCATGCATATGCTTTCCTTCATATAATGTGGGGTTATGGGCTTTCTTTAAAAAATATGGTTAAGTAAACATAATCAGTTTTAATAAAAAGATTGATGGGCAAAAAAAACCCCTCTTATTTCTGAAGCAAAAAGCACATTGCTTTACTTTTAAGGCAGAGGAAAATCTCTCTTATACGAAAGAGAATCCATGTGTTAAGATGCGGGCTCTCCTTTGCAGTTTTTATAACTGCCCATAATAAATCTGTTGCCATGAATTAATACATCCCGCTCTTTTGTAAGCGCTGGGCTTTGCTTAATCCTAGGCAAGAACAATAAAATTGTGTTTGACTTTTTTTCAATGGCTCCATCTTACTAGTTAAACAGTGCAGCAACCTCGTGTATTTCAGAGGCTTCTATGTGTGGCATGTGAGCTGCATCGTGCCTGTAGTGAGGCTTCATGGGACACCATTTTCCACACAGCTGTTAAACAGGCCTCAGGGCTTGCTTCCAACTTTGAACTTGAGGAGTGACTCAACTCTCAATCACAGAAAAGGATAGAATTATCTGAGCATTTGTTCAGTCAGTTCCCCGCCTAACATTCAAAGCTGGAAGTAAGCCTTCAGACCTGTTTAGCAGCTGTGTGGCAAATGTGTACCAAGACCCTTGGCCAGGGGTCTTCAAACTCGGCCCTTTTATGACTTGTGGACTTCAACTCTCAGAACTCCTCAACCAGCGTGCCTGGGAGTTGAAGTCCACAAGTCATAAAAGGGCCGAGTGTGAAGACCTCTGCCCTTGGCGACGAGAAGCCAAAACTAGTAATCTATTCCAATTCAGTTCCACAGCTGGTAACTTGAACGGTGGGCTTGTTGATACCTTCTGCCTGAAAGTGCTATTAAAAAGATTTCATACAAAACATGTCAAGCTCGGAACAGCTGTTCTGACCTTACCTGAAATAATTTGCTCCAGAAGTGTTTCAACTCTGAAACTTCTCTTTTGAATGGAAAACTCTTCTAGAGCAGCATTCTGGTAAAATCTGAACAAGCCACTCCAAAGGTTGAACAACTGTTCTGAGCTCTGGATATTTTGCATCTCTCTACTGTTAAGTATCTTTGGGCAATGATGCCCAACAAATCATATTCTCCCCAAGTCTCTTCCTTAAGAAAGACTAAAGAAGACTAAGGATTGTCACCTCAGCATGCACTTTTGGACAATTAATAGTGCACTTCTTTCTACCGTGTGGCTTTTTCCTTGACAACTCTACAATCATTCGTTAGATTTATCCAAAACAAAACTAGATACAGTATGTGTATAGCTTTGAATGACTGGGAAGAGCTTCCCTCGTCTCACACAACGTGAGTTATTTTGCATAAAGCCTGTAGAGACTTTCCATTGAATAGCAAATTTGCCTATACATATGTACACAGCGTATTAGAAGTTTTAGCTTATAGATCACTGTCTTCCTTTTTTTTTTTGTACGTTATACAAAAATATCAAGGATCTAAAGGGACATGAAGGAGGGAGACCACACAATCACAAGAACAGATGATTGTCTCGCGCTTTGCAACTTTGGCACCTTGGGTAATTGTGACCCATTCTCTGGAGGAAGATGTTCCCTGGCACAAAAAACAGCAACTTCACCTGATACACAGTGAAATGTGCTGCGATTCCCATGGGAGGTCAGAACAGTCTCCCTATTCCATCTGCTCAGGTGGACCAGCAGGGAGCATGGTTCTTGCCTACCCATCTCATATTATCTAAGCCTATGTAGTGTGTAAAAATATTCTCTTCACCGAGTCTGGTAGGCTGTGGCCACAAAGGTAACCTGCAGCTTCCTACCTGAGTTGGTATTTTTCTAGGATCCCAGCTGCAGAGGTCTTGGACCCTTTCCTACACTGCTGTCTCACTCTTCCAGAGACCTGTTTTCATACTGCTTGCATTGTCCGCACCACTGAGATTTATGTCATACTTGCTGCCCTTCAGGACCCCATTCTGATTGGCTGCATTGAGCGGGAAGGAGCGCCTCTTGGTCTCTCTTTCTACGGAGGGGTTGGCCTGATGCTTAAGGTTGTCTCTGCTGGCGCTTCTCCTCTGGCCTCTCCCAAAATCGGCAGGCTGGGGGCCACCGCTGCCGTCACTCAAGTCCGACTGCGTCAGGGTGGATTCCAGAGTCACAACTTTCCCTTGGTTCTGATTGTTCAAAGGGCTATTCCGGCTGCTTTGGTAACTCTCTGAATGACTGTTCTGAAGGCTCCCACTCTCGCTAGTAGGATGCTCTGAGGAAGGTCCCCGCATTGCCTTCAGACGCTGGTGCTTCCCTTCTCGATAGAGTTTAGTTCTGCTTTTATGGTACCTGGTGCGCCCATGGAGATTGTTCGTATACCTGGTTGAAGGGGTGCTCTTACTATTGGAAGGCTCTGCCTCTTCAAAGCAGGCAGTTGTTACTGGGTTACTGTCTGGCTGGGCAAGGGCCACTTGCAAATTGTTGAGCTTGCAGGGCCCTGGGGCTGAAATTGTGCTGGTAGGGGACGATGAAGACTTAATGGACTGAGCTACTTCTGGGTTGCAGCCAATGAAGACCTGTGAGCCACCTTCAACGCCCGCTCCAGTGTGCCCATAAGCCTGCATAGGTAAAGCATTCCTGTAAGACGGGCAACAAGTAAACCATGAATTCTGTACGTCTCTGCGCCGGGCACAGTGGTAGATAAAGATGAAAAATCCTAAGGCTCCAGCAGTGACTCCGTAGAGGCAACTGAAGACAACCTTCAGGAGGAACCAACGCTGAGATACTGCCATCGCTCCAAAGGTCCACAGAGTGAGGTATAGGAAATGGGTGATGATAAGGGCCCAGAGTTGCATCCCCAGAGAATACACACCATCAATATCAGCAGTGTGGGGGCTGGAATTCAGGGTGACTGAAAGCGACCCTGAATCGGTCAACAGGTTGCTACTGCCTCCGAAGCGTTGCCTTGTTTCCAAGGGCTTGGGTATTTCTTTGGGATCCTTAGCTCGGCACTGCAGACTGACTCCGGCACATAGGAAGTAAATCCAGGTGATGAGCAGAATGAAAGCTGCAGGCACATAGAATGCTCCAATGCTTGGTCGGCAAGCCAGCCAGCAGCTGGGTGGAGAAAGAAAAGGTTGGGCAAATTATGAATAGCTGCAAAGCAGCAACAGCTTTGCTGCTGTCTTTTGTGACAAACATACAATCTATGGTCTAGGACAGGGGTAGGCAACCTCGGCTCTTTTATGATTCATGGACTTCAACTCCCAGAATTCCTGAGTCAGGTATGCTGACTCAGGAATTCTGGGAGTTGAAGTCCATGAGTCATAAAAGAGCCGAGGTTGCCTACCCCTGGTCTAGGACCATTCGTCGTGGCCAACTCACCACGGGAGAAGAGTTACACTAATATCGAAGAAATGTTGGGATAGAATCATTAAATAAAGGATGCCAAAGGAGGAACAAAACGAAATGTGAATGACAAAAATTAAAATAATGTTTTAAATTATTAAATTGAATTGTTGAGTTGGCCGTGGCAAGTTGTCCATGGTGAATTGATCTTGGTGAGTTTTGTCCCATTCCATACAATCTCTTGGTTATCTTGACTTTAAGGCAGCTAAAGGGAGACTCTGGAAACCACAGATATGCAGGAGAGGGGACATCTATTTGTGCCTTACAGCGAAAAATATTTCAACCAAATGTCTCTATTCAGATAACCTATAGAATAGAATGCTTGTTAGTGCATACCTTGTTCTTTCTGAGATGTGGTAAGGTGGCACCTGAAGGATATTAGGCAGGATTTATGGGGCAAGGAAGTGGGAACATCTTTAATCCCCAAGAGATCGTTAAAAACTTGAAAACAGCACTGGGGATTTTTTTTCTCCAGTTTTTGGGATCCATTGAATTTATATGTGCAAGTAGATATAGTGGACCAGGAGTAAGGTGGATGGATTCAATTATAGTGGCAGTGAGTACACTGATGGAACATCTGAAGGATTAGGTTGGGGATAGATCATCCTGAAGAAGATCTATCTTTATGGCTGTTAAAAGTCAATACCAACTTGATGACTCATAATTAATGTTCAAGTAGGATCACAACCATGATACCTTAGGATGCAAATTGGAAATGATACCTTAAGATGCAAATACTTACTACGAGTCCTGATCTCCATAATTGTCAATACGAACTGCCGCTGTAATCCCGCAGATGATCAAAGGGATCCCCCCAGCAATCAGGTAGAACCTGAAAAGAAAACCAGAAAACACCATGCAGAATTCATCCTGTGAATTAGAGTCAGGTATCTATTGGAGATACAAGAACTAAACTCTAAACTGGATGCAATAATCACAGATTAGGCTCATGTAGCATATTGATCTTGAATTAACAAGCAACTGTTGTTTCTACACAACCTTCCTTGCATTTTGCATGAATATTCATCTGGTCCTATTTCCTTGTGTTTTTGGTATGAGTTGAGTATGGAAACCACCATAGAAAATTTTGCCAATTTTATTCTTGTATATTTTGTTCATTTAAGTGCTAATTTTCTCATTTCCTGCCCAGAATCTCAAAATGATTTATAAGGTTTGAGGGGAAAAAAATTGTTGTCCCAACAGCATAACAACCTGATTCAAGGAATTAAACAATGATTAATTTCCACCACCCAGAGGGTCACTATCTACCGCAACCTTCAGGTGTCTTCCAACAAGTCCTATAGTTCCCACTTCCTTAATACCGTAGCATTGGGCGAGGGGCAGGCTGAGTTGGTTCCCCTTCCTGCTGTTGGGGTGCCTTCCAGATGGATGCCTTGTAGATCACGCGTGCCATCACTGCCATCCACAGAAGAGTAGACAAGGAAGAATAATGGAGAATGATGCCAACCTGGGGATGTGGAGAACAGTCATATTGGAACTCAATAAGAGTTGCTACAACTTCCAGTACTTCATTTGTGGGATTGTCTATCCCTATAAGACTGAGGAGATATCAATATTATTCAAAGAGTGGGCAAATTAAAAAAAACAAAAACATTTTAGATGGGTTTTAGATGTTCCTTAAACTAGGACCATCTGCTTGATGGGTATGAGAATCTCAAAACTCTTGGAGGGTCATCAGCTTCCCAATTTTGCCTCAATGGTAAAGTAGCTAAGGGCTTGTGTGTGGATTTGCCTTCAAATTAACATCCTCGGCTGCCTGGCAATGTATCTTTTGTAAATCTGGGCTGATCTCTCAAGAAGGTAATCCTGTTAAGAGTGAAACAGTTTCATAATGGGGATGGTGGTTTTCAGGGTGGAGCATCTGTTCATTTGTTCCTTACCAAACAAATAGATGGCAACACGTAGATGGATCTAGAGATAGTTAGAAAGACAATCAAAGTGGCCAAAGTGTCCCAAAAATGCTTTTTCTAAAAGGCAAAAGTTGGACTTTCTTGTTTTTTATTTTATTTTAAAATGTTTTGCTTCTCATCCAAGAAGCTTTCTGAATGAGAAGCCAAAGAGTTTCAAAGAAAAAAACCCAAGAAAGTCCAGTTGCCTTTTGGAAAAAGCACCTTATGACCTGGGTGATTATGAATCTCCATAGATGTAACACAAATGTTATTACATAAATGACTATTTGCCCTACGACTTTATATGAATAGTCAAGAGCCTTAAGGTCCCTCGTACACACTACACCACACTAAAACTACACTATCCTTAAAGACAGGTGGGGTACACCTTCAACTGTCTAAACCTTTTTCCTATCGTTGTCGTTATCGTGAATCTGAATATATGGCGAAGTGTCGCGAAATCAGTCCCTCTCTAAGCGGTTTACAGAGTCAGCCTTTTGCCCCCAACAATCTGGGTTCTCGTTTTACCGACCTCGGAAGGATGGAAGGCTGAGTCAACCTTGAGCCGGTGAGACTCGAACTGCCGAACTGCTGGCAGCCGGCAGTCAGCAGAAGTAGCCTGCAATACTGCATTCTAACCACTGCGCCACCTCGGCTCGTGATGAAGGGGCTGGACTAGTTCCATGTTGCAAAAGGAACACTTGTGTGGTCTTGAAGCCATTTTTAGCAACTTCTCAGTGTTCCTTGTGTGTGAAGAAAACCTCTCAGTGATGTGTCATCTGGCAAAACCTACCAGCCCGCATTAATCAGATCCTGCCCTCATAACTCACAGCTTGGCAGACGGCTACGTAGTTGGTGAGAGTGATGCCACCTGCAAACACAGCTGACGTCATGGCGATGTGAAAGCAGAGATTGAGCAGCATATGCCAGCACTTCTGTGCAATATGAATGGTGCTGGAGAAAAAAAAACGGGGATAAGAAAATTTAAGAGATCAAACAGTAAAGCTTTGCAGGCAAGGGCCTTATATTCAAGTAAAGGTATCTCTGTTTGAAAGATAAGCAGGTGACGAGAGAGCCCTGAGTTTGACTCTGGTAGGGTGGTGGAGCTGTTATTCAAAGCAGAAAGAACTGGGCTAGTGTTATCACCAAGAAAAACCTGGGAAGTGACATCTTCTGGAGACATGCTACTGTAGCTACCTGCTCAGCAGTAGAGAGGATAATTTCAGGCAGCCCCCATGGAAGTTGAGATTTTTGAGTGGACACCAACTACTACATCTACTACTACCACCATTTGTCCGTGTCCTCGTCCTCTCGACACGTTGACATTTAATGTCCTACATCGTGGAGTCACCCTGAGCCACTCAGTACGCCCTTCAACGAGTCAAGGACATAAACTCTTATACAAAATAATCACGGATTATACCCTCCTCCTGTCCTATTAAGGCAGCTTCTATCAAAATCATCCCACGTGCAGCTGAAAGGCGTTATCTGGCCAATGCACCGTTGCCATTCACTCTGTCTCAGTTGAATCACATGGTCGTTCTTTGCGGGAGAACGGGAGGACAGAGTGGTGTCTAATCATTTTGAGATAATGAAAAAACTCGTTGCCAGCTATGAGGGGCAATGCTCACCTCTGTTTTAAAGCCATTGAGCCAGCACTGTTCGAAGACATTTCTGTGGTCACGTGGCCAGCACGATATCACAGAGCACTTCTACCTTCCCATCGAAATGGTACCTATTTATCTACTTGCATTTGTATGCTTTTGAATTGCTAGATTGGCAGGAGCAGGGGCGAGGACGGGAGCTCACCCCGTCATGTGGAGCTCAGCTCTCGAACCTGGACTGCTGGCTTTCCAGCCAACCAGCCCAACATCTCAACCACTAAGCCACTGCCCTGCCCTTGAGATACTGAAGGAAATGCAAAATATAACTCTAGTAAATAATATTACCATAACAATAATACATGCTAAGTCTTTATAAGTGTCCGTGGAGTAGGAAGGTTAAAATAGGTTTAAACGACTTGGCATATTCCAAATAATTTGGGACTACATTTCCTTTTAGCTCTACCCACTTTGACCAGGAGCAAAAGAAACTGGGAGCTATGGAGGTTATCTACCCTAGGTGGGGAACGAAGGAAGCTACACGCCATTAGGCATGAAGGTGGGAAACGGCCTGCAAGATCTTTAAGAAATGCATATAAAAGGGGAAGTGGTTTTTCTTGCTTTGTTGGAAGAGAATTTGGCAAACTTTTATGTGACGTAACCAAGGGCTAGATAGAAATGTAATAGTTCAGAGTGCCATACAACCGTCTCCTGCCTACCATCAGCACAGCAGTGTTGCTGAGATGTCGGCAGCTCACAGTCGTGAAGTTGGTTTCCTGAAGGATCAGCTGGCAACCTTCTGCTCTCCAGCCACCGTAACCACCCAGAATGTCAAAGTCCCAGAAAGCGGCTGTGCGATCTGTGCCCTTGTCCAAATGCCGCAACGATATGATGACTGGCTCGGTGAGATTGCTTACGCCGCAGCCATCTGAGGGGAGGCAGAACCAGGGGTTTATCAAAATGCAGTTCATGGAAGTGCTCAGAACTCAAAGCAACTTCAGTAGGTGCTTGTTTGCTCAAATAGGGTTTGCCTAGCTGGGTTAGGAGATCTTTTTTCAGGATCAGGACCCTTTCCTCACAGCCTAAGAGTTGCTTAAATAAATTCCACAGAGCTACTGCTCAGACAAGGGAAAGCAAATCAAGTTTGAGTCTTCTGATTAACAACAACGACGACAACCATATAAAGCACCAGCTGTTAGCGTCAACTTTATTTCCAAGGATGTCACACACAAGCCATAGGGCAGACAGGTCAAACACAAGGCCTGGGGGCCGGATGCGGCCCGCGAAGTGGTTTCATGTGGCCCGCGAAGCCATCCTGGAAACAGTGAGGGAACGGCCCCTGCTGCCTTGGCCCTGGCAGGCCGGGAGCCAATGTACAATTTTGTGGTGGCCATCTATGCTGAAACGCATTCAGTCTTAGCTCCACAAGGCCGTCTGGAAACAGCGAGGAACCAGCCCGTGCTGTGTTGGCCCCGCCCCCTGGGTGCATGCTGGGGAGGTGTCACCCTTTGTGAGGAATGAAGAAATGGACCATGCCTTGGCACTTGCCCCGGTCCCACCCCCTTCTGCCAGAGACCCTCAGATCTGTCCCACTCCTGCCCAGGCCCCGACAAGCACCCTTGACGCGAACGATGTAGAGCTGGCCATGCCCACCCAGTAGGCCATACCCACTCCATCCACGCCCATCCAGTAGGCTGCACCCACCCGGCCCCCTCAAGGGCAACCACAATGCTGATGCGGCCCTCAATGAAATTGAGTTTGATATCCCTGCCATAGGGTATTGTATAAAAATGGAAAATGACGATGCTTATGGGTTCTTCATTAGGAAGTGTGTCTACAAGGATGGAAAAGAGCATTCTAAGGGAGTGGGAATATCTCCACCTTGGTGGACCTTTTGGTGGCCCCAAAGGTGTTTTTCCAAAAGGCAACTAGATTTTCCTGGGTTTTTTTTTCCCTTGACAACATTTCGCTTCTCATCCAGGAAACTTCATCAGTTCTGAAGAACGAATTGTTGCCAAGGAAAAAAAACCCAAGAAAGTCCATCTGCCTTTCGGAAAAACACCTTTGCGACAACCGTGACGTGGATGATTGAGAATCTCTACAGACATTCACCTTCTGGTGGACAAGAATTTCCAGACCGGCCTCACTAACTCTGACCGTTGCTTTGTTCCCAGGCAATCCATCCCACAACAGCTGTCTTATGAGCATCTCCATGCCCTGGAGATGCTCATAAGCTGTCTTATGAGCATCTCCATGCCCTGGTCCCAAGTTTCCCAATGAAACGGTTCCTCCCTGCACTGGGGGTAGGGTCTCTCCTGTCCTTCTCTGCCACAGCAACCGGGGTCTCTTACGTGTGCTTGCATAGATCACTGGGGTGGCCACGCTGCGTCGCTTGCCATCATCGGCGAGGTGTGAAGAATTTCCCGTGCTGCAGAAAAGTTTTCCATTGCGGAACACCAGGAACTGAAGCTTACACCTAATGGGCACAGGCTGGTGGGGAGCTGGTGGGGAGAAGAGGCCCAGAGGCAGCTGAATGGAGGCCAGAGCAATGCTGTTCTAATGAGAAGAGGAATGAAGAAAGCTAAAGATGGGGCCTGGCCAAGCCAAACTCTTGCAGCCCTTCCCATAGTTAACCCCCATCTCCTCTCCATCCCAAAAGGGCTAGAGACACAAACAGTCAAAACACTGACACACCCAGACAAAATGAATAACAGAATAAGAGTGTAAAGGAAAGAGTTGGTTCTAGTCCAACCCCCTGCAGGAGACCCTATACCAGGGGTAGGCAACCTTGGCTCTTTTATGACGCGTGGACTTCAACTCCCAGAATTCCTGAGCCAGCCATGCTGAGGGGAAAGAGAGAGGTTTCCAAGCTGAGCCATGCTGGCTCAGGAATTCTGGGAGTTGAAGTCCACGTGTCATAAAAGAGCCAAGGTTGCCTACCCCTGCCCTATACCATTCTGGACAAATGGCTGTCCAATCTCTTCTTAAAAACTTCCAGTGATGGAGCACCCACAACTTCTGGAGGTAAGCTGTTCCATTGGTTTATTGTTCTCACTGTCAGGAAATTTCTTCTTAGTTTTAGGTTGCTTCTCTCTTTGGTTAGTTTCCAACAATTGCTTCTTGTCTTGCCTTCTGGTGCTTTGGAGAATAGGTTGACTCCCTCTTCTTTCATGGCCAAGGAATGGTTCAAAAAGAGAACAGTGCCATTTTTCTTGCTTAGTTAGGAAATACAACTTTTGATAGCTGTCCTTGCAACATTGATGACATCTCAATCCATTGACATATCTCAATCATTAATAGAAGAATATACTTTATTGGCCAAGTGTGACTGGACACATAAGGAATTTGTCTCGTGTGACCAATCATACTTGGCCAATAAAGAATAATCATCTCCTCCTCATCCTCCTCCTCTTACTCCGTCGCCTCTCCAATGATTGAGATATGTCAATGAGTTTTTCAGACATGTGTATAATGTTTTCCAGGCTGCTCTGGTTCTTATGCCTTCCATTCTGATATGAAAAACCTAGCAATATATGGAGCTTGCCTCAATGGAAAAGCTACATGCCATTTCCTCCATTTAAGCCCCATCCTCACCTATTGCTATGCCAGAGATAAGGAATACCTTCTCCATCCTATTACCTTCATCCACCAGAAAACCTTTCTTCTCCATCCCATCTCACCTTGATGTGGAAACTGGCCAAGGAGATGTTTGGTCGGCCTGTAGCACAACGGAACTTCAGCTGCTGGTCTGACAAGGATTCAGAAAACTGTTCCTGTCGTGGAGAACGGCTACCAAGATTCTCGCGCTTCTGAAAAGCCATGCAGCTCATGCCCAGGTAACTTTCTGGCATGATAAGGTAGGCTTCAAAGGCGATGTTCCTGGAGTTCTGCATAAACAAAGGCAAGAGCTTTGTGAAACCAAGCTACCCTTCTAGATACAGCCAATCCCATGTGGGTCATCTGTACTCCATCAGTCGTTCGCTTTTTGTCCTAGTCTGAAGTCTCTAGCTTTTTATACCTGCTATCCAAGTTCCTGGACAGATGGCAATTTTGTGGGATGTCTTCCCCATATTTGCTGCCCTGGTTATGGGCTCTTCTGATAGAAGCAACCACATAAAATCCTCTCCCTCTTTAAGATCTCCTAATAGCTTTTACACTGTGGTTGTGTGCTCCTCTGAGATACTACGGAGAGTTTAAAGCAATAGGAACATCGAGGAACCAGACAAGGAACTGAGGGGGGAGAAGGCAGAATCATCAGCAAGGAGGACATTTCAGCTGTCTCAACAGCTTGAGTCTCAACAGCTGTCCAAGAACACCAGTGGCTCCTTGTATATCTTAGTCTCAGTCAACTCATAATCCTTCCCACGGTATAATAATTCTCCTATTTCACCTGTGTTTGTTTTTATTCTGGATTTCTAATTCCTTGCCCCCCCCCCAAAAAAAACCATGTATTTGTAATTTGCCTTTTTGGCAGTACCCCCACACCTAAGCTTCAGGCTTCGCCTTTTACTCTGCCATTCCTCCCAGCTCACCCACTAGGAGAGCTTGGATCCCTACCACAGCCATATGCTGAGAGTTGGTGCTGACAGCATAAGTCGCAATTTTCTCCAAGGAGTGCACTATGCTGGTGCAAGCTTTTTCTTCAATCTGGGCCATCCACAGAACATGGTCATCCACCAGCATCATGTTACTTGCCATCTCCACAATGACGTCGGTCAGCTGGGTGAAAGCAGACAAAATTTGGGATATAAGAAACCGTCGAACATTTCATTCCAGATCAAAGATGTGCTTGTTAGGCCACCTTGTTAGGATTAGTAAAATATAGATGCTAAGATCGGATGGTGGCCACAGACTGCCCATCTTTACTTTAGACTTTCTATGTGTTGAGCGTATTTAGCAAAAAATAGAATGGGGACCCTCCTTTTCTTTCCTCACCATCGTGAATGTGGGAAAATGAGCACATGAGAGTCGGGTCCAAAGGTGAATGCACGTACCTGTTTGATCTGGTCTACGTAACCAGTGAACTTTTCAATCATCTGAGACACATAGATGACATCCATCATATCTGAGAAGTTTGCAGCTTCAGCTGTGTAGACCCGCAACTGGTGGGCTAAGGTTAGTGCATTTGAGGCATTGATGGGCATCTGTCAGCAGATAAATGGAGATAAATGTCAAAGCAGTCTAAGCTCCCTTTCCCCACCCCCAAATATCCAACAATGCTTAATTTACAAAATGGTGGAGATAGTTGGCTTAAAGCCTGCTTAGCTGCAGGGTTAAGTTTTTCGTCAGTTCTTCAATCTCAATGTAGTATAATATAAAAGGAAAGAGCCACCACGTTTGAGAGGAGGACTGAGATCTGCCAATGCAGATGCCACCCTGTGAGGGTTCAAAGGATGTAGTCAAAGTGAAGTAATGACGATGATCAGGCCAGCCCAGTCAAGTGTGGTCTGCTATAATTTGGAAGGCTGCAAGAAAGGGGCTCATGCACCCTGTGGTGTCATGTGGACCACAGTGTTACAGGCGGATGGACAAATGGGAGACATGGAATCTGTTGGGATTAATCACTCTTGGTTAAAGAGGACTGCATGGTGGATAATTGAGAAAGAGACATACCAAAAATAATACAATGTGGAAAGCTGGATCTAGTTTGTTATAAATAACAAACTCAAGGGCTAATTGTATAAAATGAAGTATAGTAGGGAAGGATGTACAAAACATGACCAGGGAAAGGTACGGCCTTAAACAATGAAGTATATGGGAAGATATGTAGAGAAGTTGTGACTTAATAGTACTGCTAAACATGTAAAAAAAAAAAAAACCACAGAAAGGAGTAAGTGGGTTAATGCAGTGCTGACATGGACCAGATGGATTTCTAAATCTCAGGTAGGTTAAGAGTAAATTCATACATAGCCAGCAGTGGAAAGGGCTCTCCACGTGCTTCAAAACATTCACTTTGTCATTTTGTTTTGTATCCCTTGAGCCACCCCAGAAAATAATCTCCTTCTTGGAATGAACCAGCAAGTCTTGGACAAAACTTGTGGGCATTTCTTGCTGCACATTCTGAGTCGGTCTGCGAAATGCTCAAGGATAACCAGATGGAAACAAAGAGGGATGAGCCCTTATTGTCCTACTCACCAGCACAAAGGTGTAGAGCACACGGGTGATATCATTGGTATACAAGCAGTGTGAATAGTCCCCTTCCTCCCAGCGGCCTGTGCGGTCACAGTGCCTCCATGCCTGCTTTTCATGGCCAGAGCCTGCATTCCCAGAAGTGAAGGGATACTGGAGGCAGGATTGATAAGCAGTGATGCCAGCCAAGGTCCGGGGCCACCTAGCGCCAAAGAGGAGAAGACCACTTATGTCCATCTAATCTAATGCTGAGGTTAGATAGATCCCAGAAAAAATGGCTTATGGAATCAACCAAGGCAGAGTGAAGGAATTATGGAGGGTGGCATAAGAAGGCTGGAAAGTAGGGATAAGGTGGGGGGGGAGGGTGCAACTTTAAAGATAATGAGGCTTCTACCATGTGGGGGCGGGGAAAAATTCCATTGCTTCAGCTCAGGGCTGGGAACATAGGAAGATGTCAAATGCCAATTATTTTATGGAGTGATTTATTTGCCTCTTGGAATGCTCTCCTTGGCTCAGCAGCTTCCAACATCTGGATCGGAGAATTTTGAGGCCGCTTCCCTCCCCATGCCAGCAGTAACAGCTGGATGAATTGAGCAAAGGCAAATGGAGATCAGAGACCCTCCCCCACCTTGGATGCCACCTGCCAAAGCAAGTTTCTTTCTTGTCCCACAGCTCAAGCAAGTTTTACATTTGGTAGGGCAAGGAAGACCTTAGCACAGTGGTTGGCAACCTTTTCTTCAACCCTGGACCTCCTTTAAATACATTTTGTGACCACCGATCATGGCCACAGACCCCCAAGACTTCACTCAAGATTTAAACATTTTTAAACATGTCTTTAAGCCTTCATGACCCCCTGTAATGACATTACAGCCGCCCCCCCAGGGGTCCACGGACCACAGATTGAGAACTCTGCCTTAGCACTAAGGATCAAATCAGATCAAATGAAAAGCAGATCACTAGTTCTCTCCCTCCATCCTCTAAGAATAATCTTTCCTCCAGCAACCCCTTCCAAAAAAAAGAAAAGAAAAGAGCATTTGAATATATTGGCCAGCTGTAACTGACAGAACAAACTAGCACAAATCAGACACATAATTCCTTAGCTGTTTGGAAGCCAACAATTGGGGAGGGGAGGGGTATGGGAGCTGTGCTGCTGATTGATGTAGCAGGGGGAGGGTTTTTTTCCCCTCCCACAATATGTTTATAATGAGCACCAAGACCCTTAAGGAGCATCTCTCCCATTCTCAAATGAGGCAAGAAGGACTTTTGGAGTTGGGGAGGGAATATTTTCATGTGGAAGCTTAGAGCAAGGAGCTGTGAGTTTAATTTTGGAAAACAGGTTCCCCCCAAAGCACGGCAGTAGCACCCCGAGGCTAACAAGAGCGGATCAATATATACGGCCTTCTGGATGGGACTTTTTGGCATGCAGTGGTTCAGTTAAACTGTTTGCCAAGCTCTTGGAATCTTGATTTTTTTCCCCCCAAGCAAGAAAAACCCTCTGGAATTGTGAAAAGTAAGGTAAGGTAAGGAAAGGAAAGGAAAGGAAAGATGGGTGGCCAATAAATGTTATAAATAAATAAACAAATGAAATGAAATAAGGGAAGGGAAGGGAAGGGAAGGGAAAGGAAAGGAAAGGAAAGGAAAGGGAAGGGAAGGGAAGGAAAGGAAAGGAAAGGAAAGGAAAGGAAAGGAAAGGAAAGGAAAGGAAAGGAAAGAGAAGGAAAGAGAAAGAAAAGGATAGGGTAAAGATAGGGAAGGGAAAGGAAGGGGAAGGAAAGAAAATATAAATATGCCATCTCTCCATCCTTGTATGGAATCCTCTCTCTCTCTCTCTCTCTCTCTCTCTCTCTCTCTCTCTCACACACACACACACACACACACACACACACACACACACACACCCTTTCCGTAGTAAAATAAAATGCAATAAAATAAAATCCAGAAGTCGATTCCTAACCATCTCTTTATTCATCTGGCATGCAATCAGGTTCCCGCCAGGGATTTCCTGAAAAGGAGGAATCTTGCAAAAACAGCTCTTGTGTGCAACAGGCCAGCAGGCCTTTGGTCCCCACCGGGATACCCGATTGGGCCACAGATGGGGAAGATCTTCCCACCCTCCGCTAGTCTGCTGCTGCTGCGGCTGCTTTTCCTACGTCTAATCCCAGGCTCTTATCCTGCTCACGCAGGCTACGGGTGGAAGGAAGGGGAGGGGAGTTACAAGACAGGCCCCGCTGTTAATTTAAGCCACATTGACTTGCACAGTAATTTATATTCCATCAAGACCCCGCCAAGGTTACAGCCGACTCCCTGAGCCTTTTTTCTCCTGCCAGAAAAATTCCAACACCTCCTGTTTCTGGAGCCTGTCTGCACTGCCAGAGCGGGCCTCTCAGATGGCCTCCCTTGCAACAGATGCTTAATCATTCCCAGGCTGCCATGGCCAGCAGAGATCCCAAATCCCTCGCTGACTTTGCCTTCCCTGGGAGGGGTGGGGGAGCTCTTTTGGCAATAGGATTCAGACAATCCCTCGGCAGCTGCTCCTCCAGCCCAGCCCTTGTCCAGCAGGGCTGGAAAGACAGCAGAAGCTCAAAGGAAGCGGCTTCACCTTCCCGTCTTCTCAGTTAAAGAGTGATGTGTGTGTGTGTGTGTGTGTGTGTGTGTGTGTGTGTGTGTGTGTCTCCTACGATTGCAACAAAGGCTCTGCTCCTTTTGGAGTTGGTTTCCTGGGAAAAGCCAACTTCGGCTCTCCGCGGAAGATGCTGGTGCTCCTTCGGATTCCGGCCTTTGCCTGCAAGTCTACTGCCAATGCACAAGAGGGCAGAGATGGGCAAAAGAGAAGGCGATTTCCCTTGAGTTGATGCAAGCAATTTCTGCTAGAAATCAGTGTGCTAGAAGAAGGGTGCCACAAGTAGGCTGGTATAGACTTGAGGTAGGCTCTGCTCTCACGACGTGCTTCAACTCACGCAGAGATGCTGCTCTACCTTGGCTAAGCTGCTTTGCCAGTTGAAAATACTTTAGGGCCATCTCTTTGAAGAAGTGCCTCCTTGAACCCATGGCCTCTTTCAAATATTTGCACACAGTCCCAGAGACTTAACTCCTTGTACGTGACAGAGTTAGGGGGGGAAAAAAGTTTATGGCCATCCTTGTTTTTTCAGCAAAGTTCTCCATGTGTATAAAACTACAAGCCAAAGCTCTTTAGACTTTGTATGGCTCTTTGTTCTATCTTTTCCTCATTGATCATTTTTCCATGGCTGCAACTAATTAGGAAAAATTGGGTTTGCCAGACTCAAGTGTACTGGCTGTTCCCCAGATATTTAGCTTCGGGTTTTTTTTTTTAATTTCTTGGATGCGGCTCACACTCTTGTTTCTTAAACCTTGAATCTTTCACTCGTTTATCTGTTAGGGGTCCCCAACCCCTGTTCAATGAACCAACACCAGAAAGTGGTCCATGCAAACAAGCGAAGCCCCATCTGCAGAATGCAGGCAGCACGAAAAACCACATCCCCTCCGATCTGAAGGAAACCTCTCTCCAGGGAACTGGTCTCTGGTGCCCAAAACGTTGGGGACTGCTGATGTAAGTTATCATTGATTTCAAACGTCCACCCTGTTTTTCTTCAAAAGTTGATTCTCCAGCAGCTGAACACATAAAGGGATAGAGCAAAAACGAAACCATTCCCTGTTGAGACAATTTCTTTCCACACTGGCCCATGAGTAGAATGAGTAGAATTCTGGACCAGTCTGGGGAACCTAGATCAGTGGTGGTGAACCTATGGCGCGGGTGCCAGAGGCAGCACTCAGAGCCCTCTCTGTGGGCACGCGCGCCGTCGCCCCAGTCCTAGGCCTTCAGCTGGGTTTTATAAAACCTTTTCGCTTTAGGCCTCCGCCGCCGTGTGAAAAAAAAAAAAAGGTTCAATCAGTCAATTTCAACTTCTCGCGGGAAAAAAAAGATCTTGCAAAGTTGGAATTGATTGAACTTTTTAGTCCCACCCAGTCTACCGTTACCACTGCAGCCACGCCCACCCAATGGGCCACGCCCACCCAATGGGCCACACCCACCCGGCACTCGACGATGCATAAGTGGGTTTTGGGTTGCATTTTGGGCACTCGGTCTCTAAAAGGTTCGCCATCACTGACCTAGATGGTCGGTTCTGCCCGTGATAATAGCTTCTGCCACACTTTGGCCCCTACCTGAAGTCTCCACGGTTATTGGTAACCCGCTCCGGTGAGCAGTACGAGGCTGAGGTCTCCAGCACAACGATCTCCACCTTCTTGCTAACGTTGCCCTGGGCAGTGGAAATGGTGCATTCCCATTCACCACTAGCCGAGACATGGATGTTGGACAGGATGAGCTCACTGCAAACAGAGAGTGCTTTTAGAAGAGAACATGGGCTGACGGTCAACCCATGTTCCTCTCGTTACATCACAGTCTTGACCAACCCATATTTCCTCTCGTTACATCACAGTCTTTACACACAGAATTAGCAATATATAGTTGCTGGGAACTGAAGCAGGAACTTTGGAAGAGGTGTGGACATGCCCACTGCATCTCTCAGTGCCTCCTGAAGTACTGCCTTTTCCTAGACTTACGGGGAGCCACATAATCCCAGGAATATACGCATTTGATTTAGAAGGCATCAACAGATCCTACTGCATGGCTAATTAAAATGCCTACTATCACGGTTGTGCAGGAGAAGGCATGGTTACTTTAAGGAGGTGATGAGACCTGTGGAAAGCATGCATCCATCTTTTCCAAAACATTTTGTTATATTCTTGATCCAAATAGCTGCCCATCCTAATAGAAAAGTTTTCAGAGTTCAATACAGAACAGATTTATTAGCAGCAATTCAAGTAAGATTAATTATTATAATGTCATACAGATCACCCAAACCTACAGGTATTTCTTTTGTAATGCCCAATGGAGGTCTTTAAAAATGGGGGAGGGTATACAGTATTTATTGGGTGGTTGGAAGTGACCAGAGAGAATTCCAAAATGAAGCCAAAGACAGAAATTCTACTAAGTTATTTTCCAGTTAATAGATTTATTTACTGCCTTCTGGGTGAGTAGGATAAAAAGAACTACATATATATTTAAACATAAAAGAATAACACATGCAAGTATCTGCAAATGCCTGAAGGAATAAGCATATATTTTCAAGACTCTGAAAAGATAGCAGTGTTGGCATTGGGCAAATCAGTTTGGGTGGGAATTCCAGAACAGGGTGCCACCACCAAGAAGGCAGCCACCAGTCTTCTTTCCAGGATCTTTTGCTTGGAATCAAGTCAAACCCAGCTACAAAAAAATGAGCTAAATGGTTATATGTCCATCCCTGTTCTCTGAAGTTATTGCTTATGTGTGAATCAAGAAGACATTCTTTCTAAACCTTAGTTCTTACTGGTATTAGTCAACATCAACTCACCCAATGACTGTGTTGGTGGAAATGCCAAGTGCCCAATGCTAGACCAAAGACTGGAAACAACCAGGAAAGAACTTTTCCCTCTTTGACCCACCCAGCTCATCCCCTAGTACAGACATGTCAAACACAAGGCCCGGGGGCTGGATGCGGCCCGCAAAGTGGTTTCATGTGGCCCACAAAACCATCTTGGAAACAGTGAGGGAATGGCCCCCTCTGCCTTGGCCCTGGCCCAGACCGGCCGGGAGCCAATGTACAATTTTGTGTGGCCATCTATGCTGAAAGGCATTCATAGCTTCATAGCTTAGCTCCATAAGCCCCCCCCCCCCGCATGGCCTGAGAGGAACAGTGAGGCTCCTCCAGTGGACCATGCCTTGGCACTTGCCCCAGTCCCACCCCCTTCTGCCAGAGACCCTCAGATCTCTCCCACTCCTGCCCAGGCCCCCACAGGCACCCTTGACGCGAACGATGTAGAGCTGACCACGCCCACCCAGTAGGCCACACTGACTCCATCCACGCCCACCCAGTAGGCCGCACCCACCCTGGCCACACCTACCCGCCCCCCCAAGGGCAACCGCAATGCTGATGCGGCCCTCAATGAAATTGAGTTTGCCACCCCTGCCCTAGTACCTTGTGATTAAAGTGCAATCGTGAACGAGGCTGTCCTCTAAGATGATGCCGCTAGGTTCATCTTCTTGTACCAGTGCATGGTTGTGATACCAGAGGATGTGTGTGCTGTTGTCCAGGTAGGTGGCTGAACACTGGAAAGGGAGTCGGTCTCCTTGGAAGACAACTTGCCTCAGGGAGGGGATTAGCTGATGAGTATGCAGCTCTGGGGACCCTTCTGTGGGTAAAAGAGAGAGAGAGAGAGAGAAGACCTTACTTAGACTTTAGGGAAAGGGAGAGAAGAAAGCCTAAATCCGGGGTGTCCTGAACCGTCTCCCTGAAAGCTTCCTATCAAAAGGCCCACTTGGTCAGCAGTCAAAGTAAGTTATGCTCAACCCTTCAGTGAAAAGAAATCAATACATCCAGAAGGACATACCCCAGAAACGCTTGTTTATATGTCTACTTGGATTTTTTTTCTAAGATTTTTTTTTTAATCCTGCTTTTATTCTTCCATTAATTCAATGTTCATATGGTTACTTAAAAAAGAAAAAGAAAGAAAAGTTGCTAAATTCTAAAGGTAAAAGGTAAAAAAAGTAAAGGAGTGCCTGCAGATTTTACTCCGCTAGTCATGGCCAGCTATGTTCAGTGCTCGTCTTTGTCTCAAGGCCATTGAGCCAGTGCTGTCCGAAGACAACTCCACGGAGCAGTGTTGCCTTCCCACCAAAGTGGTACCTTTTTATCTACTTTCAAACTGCTAGGTTGGCACCAGCGGGGGTGAGGACGGGAGCTCACTCCATCGTGTGGAGCTCAGATCTTGAACCTGGACTGCCAGCTTTCCAGCCAACGAGCCCAGCATCTTAACCACTGAGCTATCACGCCACCAAATCCTGCATGAAGTCAACATGAAACTGTACGCTGAACGACAGAATGTGTACAGACTGGCCCAAGGACCACATGTTTCCAAAGCCGCCTGTCTGCTTTGCTGCTACACTACTCCACGTCTGCCAAATTTTTGCAAGGTATCTGGGGATTGTACTTTACACCACTGCTCATCTGGGTAAGATTCTGCTGCTTCTAAGAGCTGCCAGCAAGGAAAAAAATGTCTTTCCATCATGGATGGTGAAGGAGAGCCAGCTACTCAGGCTATACTGTGGGAAAGAAGAGCCATGTTGAGGACACCCATCAGCTGAGAGAAGATGACCTCAGGAATTTTTCCCTGCAAGCATCCCGGAGGAATCATGTTGCTTTGCTTGACGTAGGGGCTGGCGGTGAGGTTTTTGGTAAACCGCTCTGAAGTCCCCTTGGGATTACAAACTGAAGTAGACACGCTTTACACGTTGAGCTGTCATCTTTCAGTAATCAAACCTGAGGAGATTATCACTTGCAGAGGTTTGCAGCTGGCCACCACTCCCATCCCTTCATAATCCCTTAGCATAATCCATGCTAAGCGGTAATAGCATGCCAACCATCTGTTGAATGAAGGATGGAGTAGAAGAAGGGATGTATCCCTGAAGGAGAAAGTAGCATTGGACTACTGAACAAATCTCCTTTGCACACCAAGCAAACTCACTCAACTCAGGAAGGTGCCTCACCACAGCGCAGTTGACTCTCTCTGATGTTTCGTAGTAGCTTCCCGTGCAAGTGGCTGGGGTAGACACACACCGTCTTATCAGATACCTGGACAGAATGGCTTTGGGACCAGGCTAGGACCCAGCGCAAATGGCAATCGCAGGTCAGATATTCATTGGCAAAGTCACTGGAGAACAAGAGAAATGCAAATTGAAGAAGAAGTGCCGGTGAGGAAGATTTACACAGGAAAGAGCAGAAAGAGATGCCTGTCCACCCCTGGAGAATAACAACAACAACACAAATTCTAGAAAGCTCTAGCACAGTGTTTCTCAACCTTGACAATTTTAAGGCATGTGGACTTCAACTCCCAGAATTCCACAGCGTCGTTACGACCGACACCTTAAGACCCTCAACTTCAGGTGTACGGAATTTTAACAGTTCCAACTCTTTGTGACGAGATCGTAGAACTCCATGGTGTCACTTGTACCTCCTTGGAACAGGTATCGACCCACTACCGAACCAGATAAGAGGGGTCTCCTGAAGCTTCCCCTCCGGTCACACCGACTCGTACTGTCTTTCTGCCAGATGTCCCACCAACCCCAGCATAATCACTTCCAAAAGTTAACTGCTTCCTCTCTGCTGTTTCCTTTGACCAACAAAAGAAAAAATACTTACAGAACTTTCAGAGACAGCAACTCATCAAAGACTCCACTATGGAGGGTGGCAAAGATATTTCCTGATATGTTCCTGTCAAAGAGATGATATCAAAATAAGATAAAATGTATGGGATCAGACCAAGAGGCCTACCTAAGTTGAGATTTCATCGTTCTTCAGAGAAGTCTTTGGATGGTAGGAATCTTATTCTCTTTGCAACTCGTACTTAGAGAGAAAAACACCCTTTCTCTGAATATCACAGCTCCACAGAGCCCTCAAAGCAAATGATGGTATATATATTTTTTACTAATTAAAGTCAATTTCCCTCACTTCATCTTTTGGCTATGGATTCCCTAAATTTACTGTGAACCAAGGAATGCAATAGAGGGTTTAATTTATTTTTTGAGGGGGGAGGCAAGAACAGAAGCCATGGCAGGAGACCATACAGCATAAACACGTCCGATTGTTGTGTTGCTGTTTCTGACTGGAGTTCTCTCCTACAGAATCTATCAGGAGCTTGCAAAGAAGAACAGCACCCATCCCAAGACCATCTGCTCTAGGGATGAGAGTGTCCATCTGAGCCTCCCTAGGTTGCTCACTCCTATAACAGCTGGATATAATACAAAACAGAATTACTGCATATAATGCCCGAGTTTCCTGGTTTTCTTATTCCCTTCCTATCCCTTGTCCCTCCTGTACCATTTCTTCCTTAATTAGTAAGCCCCAAGACAGGAACTTCTGTCTTTTATTGTTCTGTACGTTCCTCTACGAACTTTTCACAGAAAGTATCGGTATAAAAGCTAAGAGAAATGGCTATAAAATAACCAAGAGACTTGCTGGATCAGACCAAAGGGCCATCTCATCCAGCACCTTCCTGTCTTCTCCAATTGCCAGAAAGCAATCTAAGAGAACCCCAGAAACCCAGGACAGATAATAAACCTCTTTCTACTCTTTCCCCCAACAACCCACTGCTTTTATCTTAAGGGTGAATCATCACTATGACTAATAATGAAGAGAAGGACGAGGGGGGGACATGATAGCAGTGTTCCAATATCTCAGGGGCTGCCCCAAAGAAGAGGGAGTCAAGCTATTCTCCAAGGCGCCTGAAGGCAGGACAAGGAGCAACGGATGGAAACTAATCAAGGAGAGAAGCAACCTAGAACTAAGGAGAAACTTCCTGACAGTGAGAACAATTAACCAGTGGAACAACCTGCCTCCAGAAGCGGTGAATGCTCCAACACTGGAAGTTTTTAAGAAGAGACTGGACAGCCATTTGTCCGAAATGGTATAGGGTTTCCTGC